GCGTTTTGCTGATGTTGCTGAGGTGAAGGAAAAAACGACGGAGGCGCTGTCAAGCATCTCAAAGGATGAATTTAGACAATGTTTTGAAAAATGGAATAAAAGACTAGACAAGTGTATTGGTGTAAGTGGAGAGTGCTTTGAAGGGGACTGAAGGTTTGTGCTTAAAATTTGAATAAATAAGTTCAAAAAAAAATAAGTTCGGTTTCTTTTGGGTACCCCCTCGTATAGGACTAGAAATTTCTGCAATAGGAAACAGAATTTATGTGTTCGGTTCAGAACTGTTGGTTTCAAAAGAAACTGTCCACTTTACAAAACTTCTGATTCAATAATGCTACTTTAAAAGTACAATCTGCACCATACTGGTTAATAGTGAAACAAAAAACAAATTATACCTATGAACTAACTAACTTCATGGAGCTGAGGCCTTCTTGAGAAGCCACCAGTTCTGCCGCTACTTGAACTTCCCAACATTTTATGGAACCCGAAGGCCCATTACCATGTTTACAAGAGTCCTTCACTGGCCTCTATCCTGAACCAGATCAAAGCAGTCCATAACACCTCCAATCTATCTCTCTATGATCCATTTTAATATTATCCACCCACCTATGTCCCGGTCTTCCTAGTGGTTTCTTTCCTTCTGGTCTTCCCACCAATATCCTATATGCATTCCTCTTGACCCCATTAATGCTAAATGCCCTTCCCTTCTCACCCTCCTTGTCTTGATCATTCTAATTATACTTGGCAAAGAGTATAAGTTATGAAGCTACTCATCATGCAGTTTTCTCCAACCTCCCACTAATACATCTCTCTTTGGTCCAAATATTCTCCTTAGCACTCCATTCTCATGCACCCTCAGTAAGCTAAAACTGTGGCATTATAAAACTTCAGAATTGTCATCCAAGGAAAGAATCTCGTAGAAACATACCTGGGACTCACTAAGCCACAACGTGTTACACCAATGTTCATGAAATAAAGGCAGCAGAAAATCAAAGTTANCCGCCGTGAAAGCCTCAAATCTTACAAAGTTACTTCATGTCCAAAGGATTGATGAGACATACTGTACAGTGTCCACCAGAGGTCAGGGTTAGAAAAACTTGGCACACATCCAAGACTGTGCGCACGGTTGGTGCTTGTTGAAATACTTACTCAGTAAGCAGCCACGAACCTAGAACCTCCCCATCTTTCTCTGGAGTGACGAGATCAGAGATGCATTCTTTTACAGCATTCTCTACCAAACCGTCCCTGTAGGTAAAGAAATCTCTTGCCTCATCTTCTTCTAGTATTGGGTTTTGGCAAATGATGTTACTTTTGACAGGCGTGTCACTTTTTGATCTTGTCCTCTTAAGCTTTTCAGAGACTGTAAGAGTAAAGAGAATGCATTACTTAGCCAGTCAGTGATGCATCCTGCACACATGAATAGTCCAGTCTGTGGAAAAAGATTGAGAACTGAGGAAAGTATTAGCAGATATGAACATTTCACAAAGGAGTGCAACTTCCCATAGGTCATGCACTGGATGATTCATGCACCATGCTCCTACAGATCTGTGTCTCGTAATGAATATAATGAACATAGTCTTGTGGAGTACTGCCTTCTGGGATATTTCACAGAAGTTAACTGACAATTTGAAGGAATATACTGTTTCCACCTTCAGGGTCAAACAGTAAGTTAAGCAATCATGCAAGACATAAGCACAGTGTGCGTGCATGTTGCTGGGTTTACGCTTTGACCCTGAAGACCAAAGCTGTGCATTTTTAAAAAATGTTGATATTCTACCAGACCAAACGGGGTAACATCCCAGAAGCTAGTAATCTTCAGTCACCACCATGAGAACCTCAAATGTTGAATACGGTCTTCATCATTCAGCATGGTTTACTCATTTAATAGGTACCCCAAGCTACCAATCCACATGTAATCATTAAAGTTACAGTCATGATGCCATATTGAGGCCACAGAAAGATGTCCTACACATCAAAATCCCTACACGCCTTCCTCAAGCTGTTACACTTCCTCTTACAACATACTTCCCTATATTTCTCTCTGGCTCTTTATGTATTCTGCTCTCACAAATAACAGTATGCAGATAGGCAGAAACCTCAAGTGTAATCATCCCCACCATCCAGGGGACTTCTTTCTGTGACCTCAGTATAGTGTGACCAGTCAGTGATGTAATGTGTGGTAATAAAATATCATACAGTTGAAATACCAAAATACTTTAAATAACACTCCCTTTCTCTTCCATTAGGACCAGATGTACATTGCACTAAGAACTGAAGGCATTAATTAAGAGTCAAGATGGCGGTTTCAAAACAGAGTTATCATTTTGCTAGATACTATTAATACATTTATAGTGTGGTCTTCTGGGTTATGATACAGGGTAGCTGGTGCATGGATACCAGTATTTCAGAGGAAAACACTGCCTCCATCTTCAGGGTATCTGCATACCAAATTTTCTAAAGATTATGCAACAATTTATTTCAGAAACTGTGGTCTTCTGCAAAAGGACAGCATGTAGGTGGTCCATTTCTTCCATCCTGATGGAGGCAGCATATTCCTCAAGAAGTCTGTATCTGCGTCACACCCCAGATGATCACAATCTCAATATTAATCCATGCAAAAATCTCAGATTTTGTATGATGCATAACCTCTGCCAGGAAAACCAGTCTGAACTGGGCATCTCTCAATGGCGAGCCAACTCACTCAGTGAAACAGAGATGTAAGAATGAACTTGAACAGAGAGAGAGAGGGGCATGAAACATCAAGTTTAGGTGCGGTTCTGATAGAGCATTCCCCTAAAAGGATGAAGAAATGGAAAGTTGGAACACCAATTTCAAGCCAGGATTTCATTCAGGTCCCTTACTCTGCATTATCAGGTAGTTTATTGGGGATACAGAATGAGTATGTCTCCACAGTTGGTGCCTGGCTACACAGGGAGGGGACAATGAACTCCAGATGACCAAAACAATGGAGAGACTACAACCATCAAACCTCACAAAGTAGGATCTGAGGTTCTCACAGCAGTGGTTATGAAGAGTTCTATCTTCTGGCATATAACACCATGTAGTCCACTGAAAGTCAACTGATGTTTCAGAGAACATTTCAACTCCATCTTCAGGGTCGAAGAATAAGCCAAGATACCGGCGTGAAAGCAGGTGGCAAGCAGAGCCCTTCTCTCCGAAACATCGGTTCAAACCCCACAAAGTTCATCATGATGATGCAAAGAAATTGCTCTGGGGTTTCAAGACATACTGACGTCAGTGGCTAAGCACCAATTTTAAGAGCCCATAAAATTCTAAACACCTGTTCTCAATATAATTTCTAGACCTAACTTCATGAATTACAGTAACCAAGTACACAAAATAACAAAACCCACTAGATGAAAGGATTTCTGCAAGAAACAGACACATTTACTGGGTAGTTGATTTGCAAAACCAATTTGCTGCACAAATATTTTGGTAGGGCAAAGCTGAACATCTCTTTTGAATTTATGACATTCCAACAGTTAACAGAATAGCTACTACAATCAGTTTATAACTTTGTAGATCCTGTTTCTGATGAACTGTTACACTGCTGTCACATCATGCATGGTGTGTTGATCGAGATAACCATACACTGCAGTATTATCCACTGGTGCCAATATGGAATGAAAGTCAAGAGTCAAACAGAAGGTCAGTTGAGAACCCAGCAAAGGAGGAGGCAGCTATATACAGTGTAACAGTGTGAGACAGGTTTCTTCCAGTCAGGAACAATACATTCCTTTAACTATGATGAAGACAATATTATACAGCTCATTGAATCTTTGAAGACTAAATTTCTTTTAAATAATACACAAAAATTCAGTTCATACCTCACTACAAACATCTGTCTGTTATAAATGTTTCGGAAAACAAACTTCATTTACTGTGAGAACCGTATGAAATACACAAAAACGCTGTGTGGACAGAATGCAGGGTGTTAGTATGTTACAGCAGGTGGCACACATAAACGAACAAACTCTGTGGTTTTAGTCCGCAAGCAAACTATACTGACCGAGGTATACTATAGTGACCACCTATACCAAGGTGGCGCATATACAGTTAGTATTACAAAAAATATGTGTAAACATTTTCAACCTGAGTTCATATCATCTGAAGTCCTATGTCACATTCAGCTGTTGTTTGTTCTGCATTTCTGTTTTGTAAACAGATAATTATTGGCTCTAATATTTCATGTTCAGCATTTCACATTTCACTCTGCCCCATACAAGCTTCATATGTTATGTCTTCCCACTCCTGACAAATTCAGTTTGCTTCTTCTTGAGATGTAAATTATTTGAAGAAAATATGCACACTAAATATCACTTTAAAAGTCTCACCACAGAGGATGCAATTTCTGCACACAGCACCACAACTCTTCCACTCTCCTGATTTAATTGCATACTTTACTTTATGAATGCACAAAGTATGAACTAATCCCAGCATTCACTTCATTAAATAAAAACAAATAAAAAATAAATAAAAAGGAAGCAACAGGGGTCACTTTAGCTAAATGATGTTTCACAAGGGGCAGCCAAAATGTTTCATGGACAGCTCATTCACCTTACAAACTCAAGAAACACACTGCAGCACTGTTTACACCAGTGCATCTCAACCCGTGTGCTGCATTACACTTTGCCAAGTGCCACTAAATTTGAAAGAAGGAATGATTATATAAAATAAAATATGCATTTGCATAAACTTTATAAATTGATTTTTGGAACACAACTTCATCATCTATTTCATAACAATTTTATATTACTATACAATAAATGATATTATTTAAATAACATTTGTACTTTTATTATAAATTATAGTTCTGTATTCTAATTCCAGAGTGATGGTAAAAGGATGAAAGAATATCCCAACTGTCCAGTGAGTATCAAAGGGATCAGAACTGTTGGTTTAGACTAACCAAATGCTGGGGTGAGCTAAGTCACTATAGTCACTAGTCTATGGGCTGCACAACCACATTCTGATTTCCATCAGGGACAGAATGTTGGGCCCCCTGTCCAATGGACACAAAGCACACAGTGCCAAGGTTATGAATGCATGGGACTGTAGCATGGCTCCCCATATACCACCATCATGCAGTGTTCAGTTAAGAATTTACCTATACTACCTTTACCTTCAGCAAACTGACAGCAAACACCAGTGCTGGAGTGAGACAAATTTTTGTGGTGTCATTTCTTTGCAGTGTTCTTGGCACTTGTTACATGACAAAGAGTTAAAGAAGGAACATGATAAAATTCCAGCTAATCAAATTGGAAACCAGTGACCTTCTGAGAGTGTCTTCTTTGAATATAAAACTCTTTTCAACCTGTATTATGTAACAAGCTAGAAAAACAAAGAGAACCGTCTTGATGAAAGTAAACAAAGTATACCACAACTAAAATAACTGTGAAACCCAAACCATCATCATTGGAGAAGTGGTGTGTTCTCCCGCACATTCGGGAACTATTGGGGACTTCTCTGACACCAGTGCCGGTTTGAAACACATACACTTTGTCTGACAGCACATGATATTTGCATTTTCTGCTCACAGCAGTTCGTCAGACGTCTCTTTAAGTGGGCAACACTGCGCCACTAGCTTGCTGTGAACATTCCTCAAATGTTATTCTAATGCAGCAACCATTAATGAAGGATGTTAACTGGTCCAGCTACAGCACCCTATATCCCTTGCCAATACACATACACTGGCAATCCACTAGTGGAACTGCCCCAAACTCCAGTAACCATTAATATGATAATCTAAAATCATGTGAAGTTCATCCAAAATGACTAACGAGTTCTTTCACATGAGACATAACTTTTGTATTAATCAGTTCAACTGGAACAAATTTTCAAGATGAAATTTTGGCTACTGCAGTATAACGGTACTAACCTGTGGAATGTTACATTCACAGATTAAGAATCAGACTGAAGAAATCAGGAAAAGCAAAATAAGAAACTGATAAAAGTAGGTGTGCATTCATGTGCCTGTGTGTGTGAGAGGAAAGAGACTAAGTTCCAGTTCTGTTGAAAGATGATTAGACAACATAATTCTCATACCATTCGTGGTACTTCAGTATTTGTTAACAGTACCACAAACAATGGTACAAACAATACCACAAGGTACAAAATATTTTCATACACAATAAGTAGTAATTGTATTTCAATACTGCAGCAGTTACTACATCTGTAACTATTCATTCAATGATTCCCCCCACACACAAATCCTGATACTGTGATATACATACACATTAAATGAACTTAATCCTTACTTCTTTTTGGAATTGAAGTAATGGGTGAAACCACATCCACACCGCTTGACGCTGCAGATTTTAAATAGCTCTTGCCTATATTTCCATCGCCTTCCGTTGACTTTATTTCATCTGGCAATACCCTAGATGCATCTGGTGATATTAATTTTGCAACAGAATCACTGTCATCTAGGCTACTTGGGCTACGACTACACAAATAAGAATCTTGATGTATCTGTAATGTTGCTCCTTGGAAATCTGCACCTGGTCCTTCTTCTAATAAATTATCGTCACTCAGCTCCATACTACTAATGATCACTTCTCCGCTAACTATCACAAATAGACCTAGCCTCTGTCACCTCTACCTATTCTATCACGATCATCACGAATTTCTATTCAACCAATTCCGATCTATTCTCCTACAGATCTTGTGTCCGCCCCCTCTTGTAATTCCGTAACGTTCCGTAAAACGTGTACACTGCCACCTTAATCCGATACTTTATGTGAGTGCATGGCCAAACTACTTCATTTCAGCCGATTTCAGCTGCAGTGTTACCACTTTGAGGGAAATTCTTGACTCGATGAAGGAAAAAATAGACCGCCGACTGACAGTGGTCATATTTAAAAACGAGGCAGTTTAATTCCGAACGATAAATACGTTCGGCGCTTTAAAATTTAATACATAAATGTTTTAACATTAATTTGAATTATATTATAGACGCATTACATATAACATAAAATGGGAAAATAAACACTCGGATTCTGTAAACATTGACCAGTGTAGGGAGGAAGCTGGGAAAGAAAAAGATTAATGTAAGAGAAGCAGTACATGCCTGATAATAGCCAAGAAAGGGGGCCGAAGCATGTACATTACATAACAATACTGACACCCTGGTGACTAATAATAATAATAAACTTTCAAAGAATGATCTGATTCTTCCAGAACTAGAAAACATCTCTCACTATCAAACAAATCTCCCAGCAATGTTTTAATGAAATGGATGACGGACACGAATAGAAATATTAACATATAATTAAGTTACATGGGCCGATGCCTACTAGACCCCACCAACCCTGAGATCACAACACCATTCATTCATTCATTTTATTTGGCATTCATAATTGCTACAACAGTAACACTTGAACAAGTCACATCGTTAAATACATCATTCTTGAAATCCTTTTGCCCAAATGATTAGAACTTGTCAATAAATAAATAATAAATAATCACTCTTGATGTGGTTAACCTGTAATTAAAATATAACACACATTATCAAACCAGATAAGTAATAAAATTAGATACAATTGTGTACTGCACATCTTAATAATAATAATAATTCTATTTAACATTCATCACAGTTACAAATTGTAACTCTCGAACAAGTTACATACATATACAACTTTTCCAGTCTAATTGGCCTCCTGCCCAATCGATTGAACGTCATCATATATCACATAACATAGCATTCAATTACAATTAAAAGCACACTCTTGGAATAATTAAAATATACTAGGTACAACCAAATTTATGACTACCTTCCATTACAAAAAACAAGGTCATCTTACTATACGAGGGGGTACCCATAAGAAACCGAACTTATTTTTTTTAACTTATTTATTCAAATTTTAAGCACAAACCTTCAATCCCCTTCAAAGTACTCTCCACTTACACTAATACACTTGTCTAGTCTTTTATTCCATTTTTCAAAACATTTGTCTAAATTCATCTTTTGAGATGCTTGACAGCGCCTCCATCGTTTTTTCCTTTCATGTCTCTTTTCATTCGAGGAAACAAAAAAAAGTCGCACGGGGAAAGGTCAGGTGAGTATGGAGGGTGAGGAACAGGGGTCATACCATTTTTGGTCAAGAATTGTCATACAGACAGGGCTGTGTGAGCAGGGGCATTGTAATGATGGAAAAACCAGTCACCCAACTGCCACAAATCTGGCCGCTGAGCTCCAAGTCACTCCCAACAGCTCCACAATTTCTTCAATGGTCCGTCGTCGATCTTCCTTGATGATTTCACGAATTTTTTCAACATTTTCATGTGTTCGGGCCGTGGAAGGACGACCAGAACGAGGTTTGTCATCAATTGACATTTCACCATTTTTGAAACGGGAAAACCACTCAAACACTTGAGTTTTCCCCATAGCATTGTCCTTGTATGCCGTTTTTAACATTTCAAGAGTTTCTGTTCCACTTTTCCCGAACAAAAAGCAGAATTTCACTGCCGCACGCTGTTCACGAAAATCAGCCATTGCAAAAATGACGATCACACAAAACAGTTGTCACTATAAACTCTGCCGAAACTAGTCCTTACCTTCTGAAGCAACGGTAGTCGGCTTATGGACTCAGGAATGTTAGCTCTGTGCGCTCATAGCTGCAAAATGCGGTACTACAAAAGCTGTGCCCACAAAAAAATTAGTTCGGTTTCTTTTGGGTACCCCATCGTATATGCTAAAATTTTTTATGTTAAAACAGAATTAATATATACTTATTTTAAGCATAGCTAAAAGTTAAAGCTTTACTTTTATACAAGAATAATTAAAGAGTACTGTAAAATTGCAGTCGCCAGCAAGATGGGCTTTTCAGCCTGTAATCACGCATGTATTCAGTAGATAAGTTTTTATGTGTTTCTCTATATTCACGCTGTCGTTCGGCATGTAACTTTGTTCACTTGGGTATGTGATTACAATTTTCTTCTTCTAAGCGCTTCCTTTTCCTGTATTCTCTCATATATGCAGCATGAATATTACCAGCAGACATCTTATTAGTGCGTGATATCATACACTGGCAGCTTGTCTATAGAATTGTGTCATCCACTAAGCAGTGGAATTGAATTAGCCATATTTGTTACAAACAAATGGTTATAACTCCTAAACCGTAAGTGGTGGACTAAAACAGACTGCATTTTTGAGAAGCTCGCATTTATTAACATATTTCACTCACAATATGTCTTATGGTTTAGCCGTGGCAGGCTGTTGAAAGTCTGTAAAATTAGGAAAATTATTACGTTTTGGGTAATTGTTTAAACAATGTACAATTTCATTTTGGGAATAAAATAAACATCATTTTTGGATAGCCCAGTCTTTATTCTTTCATTTACATATAGCTTTTAACATAATATACACCACAGGTCATGAGTTATCAGTGGTTACATAAGAGGTTGCACAAGTGTTATGCTCAGTGTCACTTTCAGCTTCATCCACTTGCACCCTTGCATAGTAACATTTTCAATGTTAAAAAATGCCAAAGAAATTCTCTATCCCTTATAAATTTCTGCACAAACTAAACTGTAGCTGACCAGATGTAAGGTTGGAAATAAAAAGTATGGGAAAGGGCAAATACATCATCATACCAAAAACTGACACAAATAAATGTTAAAAGCTCTCAAACCTCAGCCATTTATGTTATTTTAAAATTAAAACTATTTTACCAAGAAGTAAAATATAGGCCATCATGGTCCAAAGTGGATAGAATGAATTTTGCATGACAATTTTAATGTACACATTACATACAAAATTTCATGGAAATATGCAGTCTGGAATGAACAGAAACTTTTCATTACAAATTCACTTCATAAAGAATGCACAAAAATAAACATTCTTGTCACAAGATGGAGGGCTTTCAGACATGAATGACGTAAGATAGCCTACTGACATTCACGGGTGACTAACCTCAACAAGACGATACTGTCCTCAAACTTTATTCAGCTTACGATAAATCTTCTGTGGCTTTTTCTTTGTTCTGACGCTTTTTCTTTACTGCATCATCAGCCATACGACACACTATTGCCCGCTATGCACAAAAAGGAATAAATTTAGTACGACTCTCAGAAAAGGGAATGATGTTCAGAATATTACAGCAGATATACTACAAACTATACGATTGTTCAATATTAAATTATAAATCAGTACTCAAAGATTAACATGTGATCATGTAATTTTAAAATTTATCACCATGATGACCACATTAGTGCTGCCAACCTTGCAAGCTTAATTGCAAAACAAGACCCAAAGTCTAAACTTAGAATTTACCTCTAGCAAGGCCACAAGGTTAGGCTTTTGGTATTGTTACTACAGTTAAACTTCTAAGGGTGGCAGCATTAATGTGACAGACATGGTGGTAAAGTTTTAAAGTTACATGGGTCAAGCATTAATACCTAGGTAGCCATAAATTACCAGAGAAGGATTTCGTCTTGCAAGAAGTTTTACATCCTCTGCATTAATTGTTGAACGCTTGGCATGTCTGAAATAAAAAAAAAAAAAGTTAAACAAATGTGAAATATGAGGTTCTCAAGGTAGATTGTTGTCAACGTTCCAGAGGAAAATGATGCCTTCCTCTTCTCCAGCTTGCTTGCCTGCCTTACCCTCTGCCCCTAAAGATGGAAGCAATATGCTCCCCAGAAATGTTATGGTCTCTCCGAACTACAGCATTACATTTTCAGCAAGTCTTTGAATGGTTCATGATATATGCAGTAAGTACTTGTAATTGGCTTACATAATTCTATTTGTAATTACTTCCATATTAAATTAAGCATAACAGAACCATCTAGTGCATTCACATTTTAATTTATAATTACTTATGAAGCCAAATATGTTTCAGTCATATATATCTGTGGGAACCTTCCACAGTCTACAGACAACTCCCACAGTGTAGCAGGAGCAAACGATATTTATACATCACAGTTGCAACCTGGCTCTCTGGACACCCACACAAGTGCTACCCAAGTAGCGCTCATAACCGCAGCTCCATCACCAAAAGTAAAAAAATGTGGGCCTCTGACACAGTAGTGTCAGTCACAGCTACACTTACGACACGATACACAGCTCTACGCTCATCAAGAGGACAGCACTGCAGCAAGTCTACTCCACCAGCACTCAGAACAGCCAGCAGCGACAGGAGATTCACTGGCCAGCCAACCCACTGCGACTAGCACAGTACGCCTGCTACTGCGAAAGCTTCCCTCAACCTCTTGCCAGCCCACAATCATTGGGCTGCTACAAAGAAGACGCAGCTGGACGACCAGCCCTTTAAAGGTCGACAACATCACTGGCATCACTATCCCCAGCTAGCCCACTATGAAGGGAGTCTCCACCGTTTACGTGGTTGTCCCTGTGAGTATCAACATCCCACATATCTATCTTCAGGGATGCCCAATTGTAAAATGAAACTTTACACAAATTTAAATTAATTATTTACAATAGATCTATACATAAAATACCACTGGCATTAAAATTGGCTTATGTATGGAAACAAAGTTTCTTTTTACAACTGGACACCCCTGAAGATGGCCACTCATGGGCGAGACATGTCAGGCTTAGTGACTGTTTATTAATTAAAATCTGATGGACAAGATAACATGCTTATATCTAATTTAATACTAACAATGCATTTGTAATAATGATCTTGATTAAATTATTTTCTTCTTAATTTATCATTCAATTAATAATCCATGTTCTTAAACCTATTTAAATCATATATATTTCTTCATACAGAAACTGAAGACTTGAAATGAACATTTATAGTTTTATATCAATAAATGCAACTATTGCAACAGGATGCTCGAATACAGCACAAAACAATGAAGACAGGATCAACACAATAAAATACAACATTAATAGCATGTTCTTAACCCCAACCACTGAAAGGGAGGTGGTAAACATAATTAAAAGACTGAGTAACAAAAAATCAAAAGGCATTGACGATATTCCAGAGTTCATTATTAAAAAATGTCATCCTCAACTAGTAAATGCTCTACCATACATTATAAATTATAAATAAATGAATGAATGAATGAAATCTGCCATTTTCATCTGGTTATTTCCCAGATACAGCAATCACAGAATTTACAAAAAGGGTTTACAAAGCACTAGATGAAAAAGAAATGAGTATAGGGATATTTTTGGATTTATCAAAAGCGTTCGACCTAGTAGATCATGATATATTGCTAACTAAGATGGAAAGGATGGGAATACGACACTAAGGTGGTTCCAGACATACTTAGAAAACAGAGAACAAGCGGTAGAAATTACATACAGATGCAAAAAACTAATCGTAACATTAATTACCTATCCCGAAAGAGACCCATCAGCTATGGCGTCCCACAAGGTTCCGTTCTGGGACCAGTGTTGTTTCTGTTATACATAAATGACCTGGAGGCCAGCACAGAACATGGGAAACCTACGTTCTTTGCCGATGATACTAGCATTTTAATAGCAGGAAATTACACTAATGAAATTCAAAGGAAAACAAATGAAACAATAAATCACAGAGTAGTTTGAGAGGAATTGATTAACTATTAATAAAGAGAAAACTATAGCAATAGCCTTCCATCATCCTCAAAAACTACAACTTGAATGCCCTCCAATAAAGATTTATGACACTGTTATCAACTACACAGATCACTCAAAATTTCTGGGAGTCTGGCTAGATAAGCGTCTAAGATGGACTATGCATACGCAAAAGCTAGTGAACAACTTATGTAAGGTATGTCTTGGCCTAAGGGTAGTTAAAAGAGTAACTGGACTAGAGACTGTCCGTACGTTATATTATGCTCATTTCCAATCTTTGTTATCATACGGACTGATATTTTGGGGCAACTCGGTAAATGCAAAATTGATCTTTAAATTACAGAAGAGAGCTATAAGAGCGATGACCCAGGTCCCAAAAACGACTAGTTGTAAACAAATTTTGAAATCATTACATATATTACCTCTACCAGCTTTGTACATATACGAAACTCTAATATACCTAAAATTCAATTTGAATGATTTCACAACCAACTTAGGATTACACACATACAACACCAGGAAAAAGAAGACTTGCACATCATCCCATGTAATACAAGTCTATGCAAGAACAACTTCAACAATGTAGGACTACGACTGCTAAATCATCTGCCACGATATATTAAACAAATACCGGTACTATATAAGTTAAAAAACGCTTTGAAAACTTACCTACTCGATCATTGTTTTTATAAAGTGGATGAGTTTCTCTCGTGTGAGACAAACACTAATCAATTATAATCACATAATTCATGAATAATTGGTTTTGGGAATCCCTACTGCGCAGTTTTCCTTTCTTTCTTCCAGCAACCAAGATAACACAGTCGGAGATGTACCTGAATGGGCTACTCTGGAGAGATTGCAGATACCAAGAAGCTGCACCAGGAAGGGAGAACACATGTAATGAGATGTTGCAGTGTAGAGTCTACAGTGAAACGTTATACCAGTGCTATCACCACATTGACCAATATTATCTCAAAGGCCGCACCATAGCTTAAGCGGTCAGTCGCCGGCTTCCCACCGCTGCGGTCTAGTCAAGTGGGATTTGTGATGGACAAAGTGGTGCTGGACCAGGTTTTCCCCAAGTACTTCAGTTTCCCCTGCCAATCCTCATTCCATCAAATTCTCCATAAGCATTATCTCCAGTACAGGTACAATAGGACATATGGAAGCCGATGTGCCGAGCGGACCTAATATGGATTCCACCTCACACTATATGAAATCTTAACTACTGTAAACAATTTTAAGTATTGTAACTTTATTCTCTTATTGTAATCAGCCAATTAACAGTAACTGACTTGTCCTATATCATGTAACAATGATCTATAGAGATGAAATAAATAAATAAGTTAATTATTATAATGATAATGATGTGTGGCCCATAAAGCTTAATTAAGCTGGTGACATGACCCACTAGTCACCAAAATTCCTCTTCCAAGATCTAGATGATACTGACTAAAAACGGTGTACAAGTCAACAATTCTAAAATGCAACCACTTTTTGCTTGCATGAATAATGAGAAAAACATCTGAAGAAATGTGATTTGATTCATTCAAATTTGTACAAAGTCGGTAACCAAATACTGTTCTACATGTCCAATGGCTGAAGCTCATATAGCTTGTAGCACCCATACAAAAACATTTATTCAAAGGTGAATGCAGCCACTGTAAATTTTTGCTCATTGCCAAGCTTGGTAGAACACTGTCAGATCTCTATACTCCTAACACTTCATTTTAGTTGACCAGAAATTCCATGCACCATACTCATATTATAAATTTTCAAGAAATCAGATGATATACTGTTTCATTATTTCCTATTTTTATTTACTTACGTTCCTCTGAACATACTGTACAACGTAAGCAACACATGTGCATTCAGTTACTGAGATTATGCAGTGTCAAATGAAATTGGGACCTCTGTCATGAGATGCCTCTCCCTAGCGGAAACTACAAGAGACAATGGAAGTGGCCTATTTTAAACATTAACCTGAAGGGGCAGAGGAAACCCACATTAAGAAACTTATCCTAAATTATATGTCCCATCCCAGAATTTGAAATGGCTACCTCCTGAATGTGAGTGAGATGCAGTACCATACTGCTAACTGGCTTTCAGGCTTGATAACAAACTGCAGAACTATCTCATAAAAGAGTTTAAAAAGTATGTACCTTCTGTTGAGGGTACTATTTTTCAAGAACACAGAACAACATATTGGCCACATTAAGTTTATATTTACCATTCCATTTGTAGGTGATTTGTAGGTGTAGTGCTGTAGATTATGCACATAAATAGATCACTTACTTAAATAATCATTAATTTATATTTTCCCCTAATTTAATCACAAAGAACAATGCTTTATAAGGAAATCTGGTACTGCTGCTTTCCCATATCACCTTGTTTCTAAAGGCACATTTACTCACTTTGCAAAATGTTCCAAGTCCTGGCTGATCACACACATCTTCCTCCATACAAGTTCAGCAATGACACTGACAGCATCTTTATCCAGCTCCATTTTGATTTGACCACCCACCTCTCGACACATTTTCCGAACTTCACTATGAACAGTGAGACGCAACTTCTGTATGAAAGAAATACATTTTACAAGTTTATTGCATCTACCAAATTATACTTCAAATACAGCCTGTTTCTTAGTTAGTGATCTGCTTCTGTTAGATAAAAGAATCAACTGCTACCACAATAATTGGTAGCTCCATCCATGTAGGATTAAGCAGGATTTGTTACATTATATAAAAGCAAAGATGAAGTTACTATATTTGTTATATAGTGCCGACATATGATAAAACAGATGGCTAAAAGAAAAGTAGGATCTGAGGTTCTCACAGCTGTGGTTATGAGGAGCTCTATCTTCTGGGATATAGCGCTATGTAGGATCTGAGGTTCTCACAGCTGTGGTTATGAAGAGCTCTATCTTCTGGGACATAGCGCTATGTAGGATCTGAGGTCCTCACAGCTGTGGTTATGAAGAAGCTCTATCTTCTGGGATATAGCGCTATGTAGGATCTGAGGTTCTCACAGCGGTGGTTATGAAGAGCTCTATCTTCTGGGATATAGCGCTACGTAGTCCATTGAAAGTAAACTGATATTTTGGAGGAACACATGGCCTCCAACTTCAGGGTCAAAGAATAAGCCAAGCAAGAAACATGTGTGAAAGTAGGCAGCAAGCAGAGCAACCAGTCTGTAAAATTCCGATTACTTAGAATACATGAGGGAAATGGAAGATGGAAATGAACCACCAGTACCCACTGGGTTTCACACACAAATGAGCCAATTGAGCAAACCAATAAAAGGCAATAACAAGACAAGCAGCATGGCCCTTAAAGGGCAGCTTGTCCTGGTGTAGGAAAGGACAGTGGAGAAGTGGTAAGGTTGCAGTGGACAGACAACTGAGGAGTACAGAAGGCATGTACCTGGGTCCTAAGCATACAGTGGAGCATGAAGGAACAGAGGTAGCAGAGAGAAGGCAGGACTGCACGGTGAAGTCTTAAAGCTGATGAATGCCCAAATGGGGCAGAATTTGTGCCCTGATATGGGTAGTGTGCCCAGACCTATAGTCCTGCTAGGGGGGCTTCCAATGGTCTTTCAGGGAGCAGATGAGAGGTTTCCATGATGTACTTACACAGAATAAGAACAGGATGGATGCCTTCCCAAAAAACATCACAGATACAAATTATGCCCACATAACATCACACCAGGAAAAATGAATTATGGTAGTGAACTTGGGATTTGAAACCATAAGAAATCAACTAGGATTTGCTCAAATGCGTGTTTGTGACCAACATTGAGAAAATCAATGGAAAAACTGGAAAAGACCGTCTTACCCAACTCACATTGTTACTATCAACCAGACCCTGATGTCTTGGGATTCACACATGCTAAGGACCTTACCTCCAGAACCTAAACTCACGACGACTCACGACATTACCAGACCCTTCATTAACATACGGCTATGATAGGTTGAGGGAGTTGGGGGGAGAATCTCCTACCACCACAGCATCATATTGTGCATGTAACACACAATTCTTGCTTCGGGGCTTTGATTTCAAATGCGTCGTAGGAGCAATTTAATCATCATAACTGAATACGTACTTCTTCGTGATTTAAACCGTCCATTCTCAATACGCACAAATAATTTACACACTCACTTTCGCTCACTTTCCTACCAACCTTTCCCCCCACAAAGAGCACCACACATACCAACGGATCACATCAAAGTTAACAATGCTACAAACGCTACAAATTATCAACCACGGCCAGCACGTGACAATGTCCTCTTTGACGTTATCTAATGTTTTCAAAATGGCAGTCTCAGCGACGTTCGCAGAGGATGAGCTAGGAAGAAAATGGGACAGATGCTTAACAGACGTGGTCTTGAAAACGGGTAACTTTATTTAGTTTGGTTCATTTGAATCAACCGAGTATGGTTAGTAAAGAAAAGTGGGTTATAGTTACTTCCATATAGGACAGTTTATCCTTCGTGTTTCATGTGATCGGAGCAGAAGAAATGTATAATTGGACATTCTAAACATATTATATTTCCATCCGAATACACCATATTTGGAGCATATTTACGTTCTTCAGATGTCATTCTTAAAGTTACATTTACCAGTTAATTCTTATTTCAGCCCCGAACACAAGGGAGCTCATAACTGGTATATCGAGAAATTAGGCATATCAGAGACATCGCTTCCAAACGTAAAACGGAAAGTAAATAGCTGGTTTTGGTTCAGAATTACTAATGCAAGAAGATTAATCACCTTGTGCCCAAAAAGACTAGCAGTAAAGATGACATAGGTTGGATAGCCTATCATGTAGCATAACGATGAAGAAAGCAGTCTTCTGGGATTTGGCACCGTGTATATGTGGTGTTAACCGACGTTTCGGAGGAACGTATCGCCCCCATCTTCAGGGTAGAAGAAAAAGTATAATAGGAATATTTCCACAGTCTGCTTTACCGTTTCTCACGGTGTTGTCGCTTGCAGATTTCTTATACTTTTTCTTCTACCCTGAAGATGGGGGCGATACGTTCCTCCGAAACGTCGGTTAACACCACATATACACGGTGCCAAATCCCAGAAGACTGCTTTCTTCATAGTCACCGCCGTGAAAGCCTCAAATCTTACATGTAGCATAACTGTTTGAACACTTATTTATAATATTTTTATTATATCCTTCTGAGTTACGTATGCTTTGGAATATTATCGCAGACATGTTCCATTATTTTATATCCTGCATTGAATTGCTGAATGAAGATCTTTTTGTTCCCTGAATTAACTTTCTTTGTATAAAAAATCAGTGTGTGCCCTATTGGAATGGTAACAGTGTACACTTCTTTTCTGTGTTTTAGGAGGAGGCTTACTTGTTGGTACTGTTCTAACAGTGTTATTCTTTAAAAGTAAGTATACAACATTTCAACTGGGCCTTAACCTAATACTTTAATTTCGTGTGTCCTGGCTTAATGTGTCTCAATATTGAGTGTGTGTTCAGCACAATCTTCTGCCTCAATTTTAATTTCTCAAGATTTGTTAGCAGTTAGATAATGTTGTCCAACTATGCAATACAGTGATCAGTTCTAATTAAAACCTGAACTTAGTGACAGGTTAGAGAGCTTAGTTATGTTGGTTCAGTTGTTTGAGTTAGTAATTTGTAAAGTAATCCAAAATTCAGAAATGGCTACAAGTGGTCATGGTATCAGATGGGTTGTTCCTATGATACTTTTCAGAACTAAAGAATTTAACTTTGCTTGCTGTCAGTATAACTGACATATACTGGGTACTTCAGACCCTGCTCATAACTTGAAAGAAATAATGTGGTATTTTAAATGTTCAGTTTTTGCGTTATATGTTGATGTTCTCCTGTTTAGGTAGTGCCCTTGCAACAGGCTGATACTCTTTCCAGTGAGACCTACCGACTGTTTATGAGAGTCATAAATTTAGAATTAATTCTGAGTGGGAACAGGCCAGAGAGCCTAATCCATCAGTATGGAGTTGGAGGAGGGATGTTTAGTTTGTATATTCAGAACAGACAAATTAATATGGAGGATTTCAGGTTCTCACAGCAATGACTGTGAAGACTAGTCTTCTGGGTTGTAACATCATGTTGTTCACAGAGAGTGTAACTTCTCAGAACAACAGTGACTGTGAAGACTAGTCTTCTGGGTTGTAACATCATGTTGTTCACAGAGAGTGTAACTTCTCAGAACAACAGTGACTGTGAAGACTAGTCTTCTGGGTTGTAACATCATGTTGTTCACAGAGAATGTGACTTCTCAGAACAGCAATGACTGTGAAGACTAGTCTTCTAGGTTGTAACATCATGATGTTCACAGAGAGTGACTTCTCAGAACAGCAGTGACTGTGAAGACTGGTCTGCTGGGTTGTAACATCATGTTACGTGACTTTAAACATGAGCTAAAAGTTTTTTACTAGATCATCCATTCTATACATTGTACGAGTTCCTCTTAGAGGGACAGTAGTAAGCATAGCAAAACCTCTATTCAGCAATGGAAATAGATAACAAATGGTTGCTTGCAGTATCTTAATGTGTTCGATGATTGACATGGTCATATGTAGGGCTCTTGATTTATTGTAATACTCTTAAAATACTCTTGATGAACTCATAAGATTGGCTTGCATTTTGATTTACATATTGTATCTAATTTGATTATTTATCTGGTTTGATAGTGTGTGTTATATTTGAATTATAGGTTAACCATGTAAAGCATGATTATATATTGTTGACAAATTCTAATCCTTTAGGCATTTGGGCAAAAAGATTTCAAGAATGATGTATTTAATGATGTGATTTGTTCGAGTGTTACTGTTGTAGCAAATATGAATGCCAAATAAAAATGAAATGTTGTTCACAGAGAGCGTGACTTCTCAGAACAGCAATGACTGAAGGCTAGTCTTCTAGGTTGTAACATCATATTGTTCACAGAGAGCGTGACTTCTCAGAACAGCTATGACTGTGAAGACTAGTCTTCTGGGTTGTGACATCATGTTGTTCACAGAGAGGAACATATTACCTCCATGTTCAGGGCAGAAAGGTAAACGAAGCAAGAGCTCACAGAAGTGGGCAGCCAGCTGAGCTTTTTCCTTTGAAATGTTGGACTGTGTCTGAACTACCCATTATAACAACCCAGAAGACTTAAGTGTTCAGTTAAATTAATGGTATGGTGTGTGTGTCTATATATATATACACACACACAGTACTGTAACCAACCCTGTGGCAGAGTTAGTTGTACTGACAGTCAAAACAAATAATTTTGTTTATCTTGCAATACAGTTGTATATTTGTTAAAAAATCACAGACTCAGCAGATTAGGTTACTGTGAATTAGTACCCTGTAAATAGAAGTGATTAATTTTTTAAATGTGTTTTAGGAAGAAGTTGGCCTGTAGTTCTTGGAGCAGGTTTTGGAATAGGAAGTGCATATACAAACTGTGAACGTGATTTGAATAGTATCATACAAGATGGTACATCGAAACCCAGCAAGGTAAAATAGTAGACAATAAATATAATGCATCAATAAAGAGGACTGAAAGGGAGAAACATTTACCAGAGCAAGGCACTCAGCTGAAGCAGTTACATCAGCTACATCTGGAATATTTTCAAGAAAGAGAATTTTCGCCCTCTTAACCCTTACTGTCCATATGTCGTAGAATTGTGCCAGCACATGCATTGGATCATCAGGCTAAATGTTGCCTTATTTACAATATAAATGCAATTATTACCGAGTTTAAATGCATCTGCCAGCTTTTTGGTAATGGGAGCTTTAAGTCCAGATAATAAATATTAATCCTTCATTGTCAAGTCTTTTTATTCAGAAATGCTTGGTTTTACTCTAGGGTTTGAGATTTTGGAGCTGTGGTATGAAGAGCAGCCTTCTAAGATGTACTGCCGTGTAGTCAGTTGAAAGTCAACCAACATTTCAGAAGGACATATCGCCTCAGTCTTCAGGGTCAAATAGTAAACCAAGCAAGAAACCAGCATGAAGCAGGCAGCAAGCAATCCCACATGTCTGCAAGCCATATAATTTTCTTGCAGCCCATTTTATACTGGTTTCTTGCTTGGCTTACTTTTCACCAATGCAGATTGAAGTGACATTTATCTCCAAAACATCTGTTGACTTTCAGTGGACTATATGGGGTTACATTTCAGAAGGCAGAACTTTGCCTGTTGTCGTCTTCAAACCAGTGCTCCGTTAAATACCTATTCCATTATTATTTGTGCGTTAGTGACAGAACTTATGGAGTATTTACAGGTTAATATATATGTCTTGCCCATTGCACATGCCTGCCCCATTTTTTCTTGCATGGTTTGTTTTTATTTCTAGGCAAAGAAATGATTATGGATGTCATCATGACCAGTATCATCTAAGAAGTGTCCGCAGTTTTGTTCGGTGGCGTTATTGGTGAAATCTAGCACTGTGTAGTGCATCAGCTCTGTTAAGTAGATACAGAATTAGAAATGAAACTATAATTTAGGTATTTAATTTTTGCTAATTCTTACGAGTGTCATAATAAATTTACTGTTACTACATTTTTAAAATCACAAACTGTAAAAGGAACCTCAGATTTTGTGCTGTTGTAAATATGAAATATAAACCTAAGAAACTGTTTCTTGATACATATGGTCTGATTTATTTTAATTTAATATTTAATGTAACGAAGAAACCATATACCACTACAGATATCCCCTAACTTATGTGATTTTTTTAGTGAAGATTAAAAAGTGATTGCGTTATTTGCCTAAAAGAAGAAAAATAGAATTCATAAACTGCCATAGTGAATGGTTTTAATGTTAACCAAATTAAACATTCTTGAATGAAAATTAGAGGCAGTAATATCAAAGAAATAATAAAGTGCTTATTTACCAATACCACTCTCAAGAACACAACTGCCATGTAAGTTGGGGGATTTTAATAGCTAGTGGGGTGGAACTAAGTCCCTTGTACTGCGGCCACTTCTGGCCTATTGTACCAAAGTTAGGGGATACTTGTATAAGCCATTTCACACCTTTGTATCCTACGTTCAAACCCATTGCCTAATCAGGCCCAGATATAGAAACACACTCACTAACAACAAAGCAGTTCTACCAATAATCTCTACAGCTATGGATACATCTTACCTATTCTGAGCAAGGCACAAGAAACTCTTGAATTTGGTGCATGAGATGCAGAAACAGGTTGTTGTTCTTATTGGAGATGGTGGGTTTCCCCATGCACTTAGACCAGATATTGGTCCATTGTGCGTCCCCCTGTGATATCCTACCAGTCTCTATACCCTACTGGTACTGGCACGTGCCATCAGTCCCAACTCAGCCAGCGAGTTCGGCCTCTACTGGCTCAGCAGTATCTCGATGCTTCCCCCGTCTACCAGAGGCGTTAGAGACTACTGTTGGGTGGGAAATGTCCTGAATTTGGCTCAGAGGTCCCCTTGAGACATGAGGTTCTTTTACGTGCTGTAAAGCTACGACACGGGACCCATGGCTTAAAGTCCCTCCCGGAGGACTTGTTCCCTGAAATTTTCCGCCCTTAAAACTTCCACAACCTCCACCAGGTTTGAACCCGCGTATTTTGAGTTACGAGGTGGGAGCGTTACCCCTAGACTACATAGGCCGCTTTGCAGAAACAGGTACTCCACTTTGTATGAGAGCTGCAAAAATCCTGTATTGTAAGATTGCAGAACTGACAGAATTTACTTTCCTTATTATTCATGTTCATGAAATTCTGAGAAGGAATAATTTTATATATAATTTCATATTGGACAGTACAGTGAAATGTGATGTGTAGGAAATGTACTTTCATGCAAAATATACATTCCCTACAGAACGGATAATACTTTGTAAGAAGAGGCACCAACTAAATAATTAACATTAATATTATTATATCTACATCACGAGCCTCCAAAACAGTTTATTGTATATACACAAAATACAGAATACTCAAATTTGTCCATGGGAACACAACAAAATCACAAAAACCAATGACTGACTCGATGATGTAAAGCATCAATCGAAAAATTTTATACTTGTTTTATACTATAACTTTTGTTTTATATAATCTAATTTATTGTATTTTTATGCCAAGTATTTTAATATAATTAATATTATTGTATCCAATTTTATTAGTACTGCAGTTCAATGGTGTATATATGATAGCCATGTATTTGCCTGATGATAGCTTGTAATAGCCGAAACATGTAGCAGAGCCAAACTAGGCACTGACCTTGATATAGTTGTGTTGTGACAGTTTTAATAAAGAAACTGTATATTATGACACAACTGGATGCATGAAATGAAAATCCACATAAGTAAATATTTGTCTGATAATTTCCCTGTCCAGAATGGTCTAAAACAAGATGCTTTATCACCACTGCTTTCAACTGTGCTTTAGAATATGCCATTAAAAATGTCCAGGGAAACCAGATGGGACTGAAATTAAATGGGACACATCAGCTGTTGGTCTGCGCTAATGATGTGAATTTACTGGATGATAATATAGATACTATAAAGAAAAACGCTCAGACTTAAATTGATGCAAGTAAGGAAGTTGGTCTAGAAGTAAACGCAGAGAAAACTAAGTATATATGTTGCTGTATAATCACCAAAATGCAGAGTAAAATCATGAGATAACGATAGGAAACAGATCCTTTGAAAATATGGCACAGTTCAGATATTTGGGAACAATGACAATAAATCAAAACCTGGTTCACAAGGAAGTTAAGAGGAGATTGAACAAGGGTAATGCTTGCTACCATTCAGTCCAGAACCTTTTGTCTTCTCATCTGCTTTCCAAAAAACATAACAATTAGAATATATGAAACTATAATTTTGCCTGTGGTTCTGTATGGGTGTGAAACTTGGTCTCTGACATTAAGGGAGGAACACAGACTGAGGGTTTTTGAGAACAGGGCATTGAGGAGAATATTTGGACCGAAGAGATGGTGAAAACTGCATAATGAGGAGCTTCATAACTTCTACTCTTCTCCAAATATAATTAGAATGATCAAGTAAGGAGGATGAGATGGGCAGGCCATGCATCACGAATGGAGGAGCACAGGAATGCATATAGGATATTGGTGGGAAAGCCAGAAGGAAAGAGACCACTGGGAAGACCAAGGTGGGTGGACAATATTAAAATGGATCTTAGAGAGATAGGATGGGAAAGTATGGATTGGATTGATCTGGCTCAGGATAGGGACCTGTGGAGGGCTCTTGTGAACACGGTAATGAACCTTCAGGTTCCATAAAATGCTGGGAAGTTCCTGAGTAGCTGTACTATTGGTGGCTTCTCAAGTACTGCTCAGCTCAGTGAGCGAGTGAGTGATGCCCATGTTTATTAGTAGCCAATGTAAGTGTACACCCCGTTTTTGGGGGGAGGTGACACCTATGGTTCCAGCTAACATGCTGATGATAAGAGAGTAATGCAATTTTGTTCTTCAGGACTCTATATAAGAAACATCTAGCAACAGGTGAATTTGAAAGCAAAACTTTATTGTGGGCTTGCAGTCCAAAAAGATTACAAATGCTTCTCAAAAGGAAATATGGAAATCCATTTTATGGTGTGAAATGTTTTCATACAGTTTATTAAAATTTCATTTGCACCCTGTCAGCACACAAAAGAATGTGGTACTTTTTCATCATTCTCCCAAACCAATGAGTGACCCCATATTTCACAATATATATACTTGTATGAACTCCAGTCATGTTGAGATTTTCCACATGCAGGCAAGCGCACACACATGCACAAAAATCATTGACGGACTTCTAGGTGATAAAAACAGGTAGATATGACTCTCAAATTCTTTTGAGCAAGAAAAAATTTCACTTTGTACAATGATTTTTCGGTCTAAAACCTCAATAACTTTCAAATAATTTCTTCTGCTTGTCTCCCTCTGCATCTTCTCTATTTCTGCATGCAATGTCACTGTCTCATGAGAAGGGACAAGCAGTGTACTTTCACACATTATGAATAAGTGGCTACTGTTACAAATCATGATTACTGTGGAAAAATTTGTCTACTGGGAACAAATTCTCATTTTAATGCTCCAAGTTCTTCAAAATTCTCATCTCAAACTCAAACATTTCCAGACACGCCCAATAAAGAATGTACTCATAATGTGAAGTACATTAATCTAAGCCTATTTTATCTGTAGTCATAATGTGAAGTATATTAATCCAATAATATTATACTGTAGCACTGTGCTGGACTTTTCACTTAGTGTCTACTAGTTTTTATGGCCTCACGTGCAACACTAATGCTCATGTTTTCAAAACAAGACATGCAGCACATCACACAACAGAAAGAAATACAAGCCCCACATCAAACACACATGTGCACTGAAGGGTCTTACATATTAACATCTGAAGTAACGAAACAGAAGATAGTAGTTTCCTCATCCAATAATATTAGCAACTGATGATGACCACATTGATGGAAACATGTAGTGAAAAACTTTTTAAAGTGAATATCTTTTAATAGATTTTATAGAACATTAGTGTTTAATGTGAGACAGTAAAAAACTGACACTAAACAGTAATCCATGCCTATTTTAACTTTAATGTCTATTTCAGGCGTCACCACTGTACTTCATCTTTCTGGATAGTGAAAACTTGTATAAAACACATTCTCCTTGTATAACAGTTCAAGTTCACTCATAACCTCTGTATCAAAAGTTATATTTTAACAATCAACTACATCAGTGTTCTTGATAAAGAACTTTTTAAACACATGGTTTCAGTGGCACACCATAACTATAAATTGTGGGTTCACAGTCCAAAATCACTACCTTTATTCAGCCACATGAAGATCCATTTGGTTTCATCCAAGCAAATAAATTCAACAAATTTTGTGACATTCATGCTTTACTTGCACCCTGTACCTCTAATGCCATGGCAGTTCCATTATATATATATAACGAAACAAATTATTTCTTTTTACAAAGATCTAGATATTAAAATCCATACAGAATGTTTAACTATGTATAAAGCTCTGAATTACACTACAGAGGATTGGGATAAAGTACTAGTCCATCTGAAGCAAAATTTTAGTTTTCTAATTACTGTTTTATAAAAACTATTTTACATTTAAAAACATAAAAAGATACACTTGTGGGTTTTCTGTAACATTATAATCTACAGAGAGATTTAATTTATACAGAAATAGTTCTACATTATGTTGTTATATTTGATTCATATAATTCATTAAGAACTGCTAACTAGAATATTACAAAGTGCATTTTTTTTAATTAAGATGTATTAGTATTACCCACAAAAGAGAATTTTATAATTAATTTGCATTATATCTTTCATTTAATTCATCACGTGGGTCACTTACTCCAGAGTGACTGGTGATATAATACATCCCAGATGCACGGAATGAAATGGGGAGTAACATGCCTTAACTTGTGACAAGTCAGTTTTCAGGAAAACGAGAAGTATCTTTTGATAGCCAAGTGTTTAGTAAAATTTTCCTTGCCCTGTCTCCAACTGTTTCTCAAACACAGAGGCCAGTTCTGGTAGCTCTGAGCCACTGCCTTCTTCTTCAAATCTTTTTGCTTGCACTGTCCCTGTTACAGCCTGAAACAATGTGTGGCAGAAATGCACATCTTCCCTTACCCCCGGCCCTTCAGTTATTTTGGCTCTGGTTAAGGCATGCTAACTGATACTCTGTAACTACTTTGTGTGCCTTTGGCTTAAGGGACTAGGCTGCACTGAATGTTAAAAGTCATCCAATCTTTGGGCAAATGTTGCAGTTTCCATCTTCATTAATGACTTTGGGAAGGGGGTTTGTGAACTCTCATATATTTGAAAATATTATATCCTTTCTTTTTATGAAAATGTAGGAGCAATGTTGGTGTTAATTTGACAGTTCTCTGTAGATCAAACCAAACTGCATCAAAATGAAATCTACGATGAAATGAATCAAACCTTAGTCATCAAAGAGCAAATCAAATATTCATGACTTAATACTATGGCATGTAGGCCCACTGCTATGCAACAACTGTGAAATAAGCAGTAAAAGCAGTCTGCTTTTACCGGTTCTCACGGTCTCTTCTCTTGAGGATTTCTTATATTTTTCCTTCTACCCTGTAGATGGAGGCAATATGTTCCTCCGAAACGTCAGTTAACACCACATATACATGGTGCCAAATCCCAGAAGACTGCTTTCTTCAACATAAACTGATTGGCAGTAAACCACAAGTTGTACAGTAACTACCTCTGTTGCAATTAGAGGACTGCGTGGGTTCAGTTCGGGTGAGCTGTTGCTGTGAGATGCTGATAGGTGAGGCCAGGGACAGTTTGGGAACAATATCTGTTGCTAAGTAAGGCTCCACAAACAAGCATCTTTCCATGGAAACAAGAGAATACAGCAAAAATGGAAAGTGGCATTTTGTACACGGTCTGTGCTGAGATGTTACAAGAAGGACAAGTCAGCTGTTGCAGTTAGAGTCAAGGACAAGCCAGGGGAGTGTGCGAGTTACAGCAGGGACAGGAGAAGCAGAGGATGAGTAGGCTACTGAGTTAACAGTCAGGCAGTAAGTCAGCTACACCAGGTCTTGATTGGATTTAATGATATGAACAAAATGGGTGTTGGACAGGGTGATTCTTACGGACTTTACTTCATATAGTGGGTTCACGCTCAACTCCCATTTGGCATAGGTGGTGTCAGGGAAGTTTGCCGCCTGGCCACAGCTGTGTGCAGTGCTGTGTGAAACACCAAAACAAGCTGTGAACTTGATGTCCCAGTACTGGGATTCCAGAAATACTGGACATAGAAGCTGGCATCACTGACATCCCAGTGCTGGGATTCCAGAAACACTGGAAACTGAAGATGGCATCACTGAATTTTCAGTGTTATGCCATCACGAAAAAATACCCAGAAGAAGCTTGTGTAGTGAATAAGTATACAGAGTGTACCAGGAGGAAACGCCAATATTCTGGAAGGTTACAGTATCAGTCACTGTAAGCAAAAAAAAAAAGTGTATATGTACATGTGTCCTATTCCAAATAGTTTCCAAGATAGAGCTATTTCACTGAACGGTTTCAAAATTGTTGATAAGAGAGAGATATTACGTACTGTTTCTAATACTAGTATATACTGTTCAAGTGACAAAGTTGGTACAGTTTACCTAGTACTTCAGACAAGCAGCAGCCAATAACTTGCAAAAATTGATAAGCAAATAAGAGATACAAAGAGAAATGAACAGAAACTATGAGAGCCAACAAAATATATGTTAACTGAAAACAAAAAATCAAGGTGAACCACCTTATTATTACTAAAGCAGACAAAGGGAATACAACAGTCATATTAAAGGAGGAGGATTACAACAAGGAAATCGACAAGTTCATAAAAGGCAATAAATTCACAAAATTAACACCCAATGTTACAAACACACTGCAAAAAAGTGTTCGTAACTACTTAAATAACAGTAAATATATATAATAAATAAAGATGAGAAATGGAAATTTATGAACCCAACAGCCCCAATGATACATGCAATAGTGAAACTACATAAAACAGGAAACCCAATAAGACCCATAGTTAACTGGAAAGATTGACCAGTATATGAATTGGCAAAGGCACGTAATAAAATATTACACAACAAACCAGAGCTACCCAGTGCATTTAATGTCACGAATTCAAGAACTCTTTAATACAAGAGCTCGCAAATATAGATGTAGATGAGCACATACAACTTTGCTCATTTGATATGGAGAACATGTACACCAACATCCCAGTAAGTGACCTACTGAATATAATAAGAGATATCATCATTAAGAACTATGCAACAGCAACAGTAGAGTATACAGAAGTACTGAATTTGCTAGAGCTTATTATTAATCACAATTACATACAACATAACAACCAATACTACAAATAGATAGAAGGTTTAGCAATGGGAGCCCCAACTTCAGCAATCTTACCTGAAGTATGAGGGGGTACCCAAAAGAAACCGAACTCATTTTTTTTTAAACTTATTTATTCAAATTTTAAGCACAAACCTTCAATCCCCTTCAAAGTACTCTCCACTTACACTAATACACTTGTCTAGTCTTTTATTCCATTTTTCAAAACATTGTCTAAATTCATCTTTTCAGATGCTTGACAGCGCCTCCGTCGTTTTTTTCCTTCACCTCAGCAACATCAGCAGAACGCTGAAAAAAGGTTTTGATCATTTCAGGAGTCTTCTTTCAAAGCACAGCATGCTTCCACGCGACCTTGTTTTTGTTCAGCAGTCAGCAGTCGTGGCACGAATTTCGCAGCCACCCTTTTCATTCCCAAGTCTTCTGTCAAGATTCGCTGAACTGAGCTCCAAGTCACTCCCGACAGCTCCACAATTTCTTCAATGGTCCGTCATCGATCTTCCTTGATGATTTCACGAATTTCAAGAAGACTTCAAGATACGAGCCAAAACAGGGGAGTTATAAAAATTATCCATCCACACTGTGTGTCTGCGACCCAGAAGATTTTCTAAGAGTGTTACTACAATTGCTGTAGTTTTGTTTGTCTCTGCAGTCACATACTGATTTGTTAGTTCCATTCCTTGTCCAGTATAGACAAGAAAGGACCAAACATAACCAGAACTAGACTCGCAGAGTTCAAACGTTTTGATACCAAATTTCGCAGCCTTGAGTGGCAAGTACTGCTTGAAAGACAGACGACCTTTCCATAGGGTCAAGGATTCATCTATGGCAATGTTGTGACCTGGAAGATAGAGAATCTGAAATTTTCTACTCAGGTGCTGAATGACGGGATAAATTTTGAAAAGTTTGGAAGGGCCTTGGTACTCATTTTGCTTGCTGTTGTCCGAAAAATGCAGAAATCTCATTATGACCTCAAGTCTTTCCAGAGGTAAGGTCTCTGCAAAAAACGGAGTGAACAGCAGGCGGTTCTTTGAGTAATAAGACCTCAATGTAGGCCTCTGATCAATGCCAGTCAACATAATTAGTGCCAAAACCACGTACATTTCGTCCACTGTCACATCTTCCCACTTCCGAATCCTAGAGCGAAATGTGAGAGGTCTGGCGATTTTCGATATTTCCTGTTGAGCATACCTGTTCGTTTCATCAACAATCAGCTGCACAAGGGAAATATCGAAAATGCTTTCAAAAACACTGATGACATCTAGTTCGGCAGTGTCGAACTGGGGACCACACACACCACAAAACGATTCTCGCGAAGCGTGAAACGAATCGATATCTTCCCACACAAATCTCCTGGACACCTCTTCCAGTCCATCGTGGGCCATGATATCCTCAGGATCACTGTCCCTTTCACTAGCACTGATGGTTTCAGGTGGCACCAGATGTGTATAATCATAGTCCGATGCACTGTCATCATCGGAACTATAATTACTTAGGGTTTCGTCGTCCAATACTTCGTTCAGCACGGTCACTTGTTCGACCTCCATCAGCACACGACTTGTAGAAGGGCCAGCCATGATAGGACTCAAAGTTTTGAAGTAAACTGTTGGTGGCCTGGTGTATGGAAATTATGAAGACACGCGTCTTTAGCTTGCCAGCTCAGCTGCAGCAAATTCAACCTTTATGTTATCATAACAAGGGGTTGGTGTTATGCGTTTCATATTCCATCCATTTTGGCTGCAGCAGATGTCACAGGGGTGACCACAGAATTCATGAAGTTATTCTAAGAACTGGCTGGTATGTAGTTCACGAAAGCAGCTTAGCTTTCAGGACAAAATTTCTGGGCATCCCTTGACTCAACCACCAAGGTCAGTACGATAAAATGGAGTCAACTGGAGCGATAATACATGAAGGAATGAGNAAGGAACATGCTTTTCCTGCAAGACAGGCATAGGTAACGATGACGCAACGCAGCTAAACTCATGTTTCATATATATATATATATTGTTCTTCTGACAACAGACCAGCAAAAAATCTAACAATCTACAGCAAAACCATCAATTATTATGGGCGTTATAACATAGGTGTGCAGCTGGACGATACATAGACGTCGAACCCCCGCGAACGATTTAAATCCCTTGACAAAACATACACGTCAAACCGCGCTGAGTGGTTAAGGTAAAACTGTTAAGTTTTATACAAATAGAGGCATGAACCAGACATCCATCTTGCACCTAGCACTGCTGTTTGTAACCTGTTTCATGGTACATTTTACACTGTACAGCCTGTTTTGGGGAAATTGAATGAGTGGGTACATAGTGATTTTTCCCCCTATGGCATAACACTCTACTCCCAGTTATACTCCATAAACACAAAGCTAAGTGCAAGGTACCCAAATAATGTCCAATACCAGCATACCTCATTTTATGGCACTTTGCAGATATTGTGTCTTTTACGCATTGAAGGTCTGTGGCAACCCTGCATCAAGAAAGTCTAGTGGCACAATTTTTCCAACAGCATGTGCTAACTTTCTGTGTCTGTGTCACATTTTGGTAATTCTCACAAATATTTCACTTTTCATTCTTATTATTATATCTCTTATGGTTATCTGTGATGTTACTATCAAAATGGGCCACGTCATAGCTCAAGCGGTTAGTCACTAGCTTCCCACCATGGCAGCCCGGGTTCAATCCCAGGTCTGATCAAGTGGGATTAGTGGTGGACAAAGTGGTGCTGGGGCAGGTTTCCTCCGAGTACTTCGGTTTCCCCTGCCAATCTTCATTCCACCCATTGCTCCACAATCACCCTCACCTATCATCTGGGGCTGGTACAACAGGCCAGAAGTGGCCGCAGTACACCCGACTAGCATTAAAAAAAATTACTATCGTAATTGTTTTGGGGCACTGCTATCGAACAGCATCACATGCTACAGAGAAATCTTTCATGAGAGGAAGAGTCAATTGATCTGGTAAATTTCACTGTTGTCTTATTTTAAGAAATTGCCACAGACACCCCAACATTCAGCAACTACCACCCTGATCAGTTTGCAGCCATCAACATCAAGGCAAGACTCGCTGAAAGCTCAGATGATGGTTAACATTTTTTAGCAACGAAGTGTTTTAATTAAGGTATGTACATTGTTTTTTTACACATAATGCTATTGCATACTTAATAGACTACAGTATAGTGTAAACATTACTTTTCTATACACTGAGAAACCAAACATTTCATGCGACTCACTTTATCGCAATATTCATTTTACTGCAGTGATCTGGAACCAAACCTGTGACATCTCTGAGGTATGCCTGTATATCTCTGATGATACATCATACCCGAATAAGCAGTCTTACACAAAAAGAGTACTGCGTGTATGGCAAGATCCTCTGTAGAGTGATTCTGGTTCCCATCATGTATTGAAATCAGAGACTAGTGGCCATCTAATAATGATGTAGCAATCTATGTCACTATCCACTGAAAACACACCTTCAAAGGCATATTAGATACAAATCAAGCAAGAGCATACCATACTCTCAACTGACAGCTGATTGTTCTGACACTGGTGGCAGTTACTCTCCCAAAGTATCACATAATTCTTTGTAGCTTAAATTGTAGCAACTCCATTACAAATTTTAAACACTGAAAGTTTTGTGCGAAATAATGCAACAAGCATCATAACTTGTTAAATCGTTCTCCTTCACAGTTTTTATGGCACTTTCAAAAAATTACAGACTCTTTACTAATTCCAAGGCTGAGTATGAGTAATGTGTATATATTTCTAAAACCTACATAACAGTCTGCTCAATTACACATATTAGAAATTGTATGAATTATTTTTCAGTGCACAAATATCAGAACTGCACTATCATTACCTAGAAGCCTTATGTACAAAGTTACAGTAAATAATGTGAACCATTCAGATCATGCATTACTTCTATGGGCATTTCAACAGCTGAGGAAATGTAGACCGTGCAGCGTAATACAAGGTTATATATAAATAACAACAGAAGTAGTCATGAACAGTTCTGTCTTCTGGGATGTACTGCCATGTAGTCATGTAGTAGTTACCCATTGCCTCAATTTTCAGGGCAGATGAGTGAGTCAAGTAAGCCAAGTATTATGCTTGTTGCTAGCTGGGTCGCGTCACGTCTGACCCTGATGATGGTGGGAGTGTGTTTCTCTGGAACACTGGTAAACTTCTACAAGACTATGTGGCATCATATCCAAGAACACAGTACCCTTTGTAGTCACTGCCATGAGATCAACTCACAGATGTAGACATGTTGTTGACAGGCAAGTTCCTCTAAGTCAGTGTTCCTCAACCACTGTATCAATTATACCAGGCCTCTGTCTTATAGAAAAAAGAATTTACCAGGCCACAGTCTGACAGATGTTGAGAACCACTGCTCTAAGTTATAACTACCAGACCATGTATGGTGAAATTTACAAGTTTTTAAATCCATGCTGGGCAATTAAATGGCTGCTACTGCTGTTGTGCAAGGAGTAAGCTCTTTATCTGCAATATGGCTCCAACAACCTGCCACTTTCACACACACATAGATATAAAAGAATAGAAATACAAAGAAACTATACACTGATTATTAAACAACTGCCACAAGCCAGCTTGAATAAATGACACAGAAAGGCTACCACCCAGTCTCTTATCCGTGAATGACAAGTGAATGTAAAATGTTAGGAATTATTGAAAATTGTTATGGGCAAGATATATTATTGCCAAATATGGAGAGCCCCACACAGCAGTCCCACACAATGTGTTTAGATAATTACAGAATAATTCGTAACACTGTCCAATGTGATTCAATTTGTAGATATCTGCTGCCTTTACATGTTTCGGTCAGCTGTAACATATGTATTAATGAGCTTTTCAATAGAAGTTCCTAAACATGTTGATCCTGTGCATTATGAAGATGGTTACAGCTGACCGAAACATGTAAAGGCAGTAAATATCTACAAATTGAATCACAATGGACGGTGTTATCAATTATTCTATAGTAGTTTATTAGTGTGATGGACCAGAATGAATAAAGTTAAGTGTTAAAATCAGTTAATCCTAACACACAACAATTTAAAATATAATAAAAATGTGTTTCAGTTTATTAAAAAATTCACTTATTTGTACAGAATTTATAAAAAAAAAAGTTAAGCTATCCCGGTAACAGGCCGTATAGGCCCATAGGGTTGTGAGATGTCAAAGCTCCCACATTTAGACAACTGGCTCACAGATGGCAAATGAGGTTGTCAGCCTTATGCACAGACCGCCCTTCACCCCCAGAAAGATTCCTGGTACTCATTTCTGTTAAGAGACTGAGCCCACCCCAGGGCCATAGTGTGAAAGGAAGGATTAGGTAAACTGAAAAATCCAACAACCTTATCAGGAATCAAAACCACAACCTTTCGACTTGTAGCAGAGTGCCTCAACCAACTATGCAGTGTTTCAAAATGAGAACTGAAAAAATTTCCAATTAAGAGTGCTATTTTCTAGGATATAATGCTGTATAGTCTGTTGAAAGTCAACTGATAAGCTCTGCTTGCCATCTGCTTTCACGCTGGTATCTTGCTCTGCTTATTCTTTGACCCTGAAGATGGAGGTGACATGTTCCTCCAAAATGTCGGTGGACTTTCAATAGACAACATGGCATTATATCCCAGAAGATAGTACTCTTCATAACCACCGGTGTAAGAACCTTAAATCCTACAAAGTATCTAACGATTCCCCATAGTTTTGGTGACAATCATCACATAGTAAGTTCTCTTTTATCTAGCCTGCATAGGGAATCTGCTAGCTGCAGCGAAAAAATCTCACAGAACCCAAACACAAAGTCAAAACAACTTGTTCTCACTTTAATTCTTGTGACAAATTCTTCCTAAGGCACACAGCTTGATACATGACAGATTTCGGACACATATAATGTAACATGGTCACAAATTTAACTAGCCTCTACTACTCTAATGGCACCAGCATGAAGGAAAACTGGTAGCACACCTAGTGGTGGCTGGGAGGAGATCGCATGGCAACTGAACATATGCACATTGCAAATTTGTTTCTGAGTAACTTCAGGTGACTGGCTGTCAATATAATGAGAGCCCTTTAATTTACTTTAATTTAGGATTAGTGGCCACAGTGATCACACCACAGTTTCTGGTTCACTAACAGTTTCTCCAAAACACCACCACACATGGCCTTTTTTATAACACCTAAATACAGCTACAAAATATATTACAATATTTAAGAACCTTAATACTAAGGATAGGCATTTCTGACCTATACAAAATGATAACTCACTAAATATCATACACACTTCCCAGATGCAGTATACAGGAGTAGTTCATTTGACCAATGGTGCTACTTTACTGGACATTCAATTGAAATTTGATTGTCTTCAGAATGTTTCCTGAATAATCAAAATTACTTACAACAAAAATATTGTATTAAGTCATAAAAAATACGACCATCCACTGTTTAAAATGTGCAATGCTGCATACATTTTGTTCTACTTATAGTGACTAGAACAAGGGTGAAACACATATTTCAAAATATGAAAACATGCAAAAACAAAATCTTTACATCATCAATTAATAAAATGTTGGCATTGGTGTGGAAAATGCATTCGAAAAATCAGGAACTGTATATGCAAAATTTTTCACATTCACAACCAATTGCAAGAGGTATGTATGAAACAAATGACAACACAACACACAAACACTGTTATGTCAATAAACAATGTTAGAAATCTTTTGCAGTAACATTTACTTTCTCATACTCTGTATTAATACATTCTTTGGTATATTACCTACTTTCCACCTATTTTGAAGACCTCAGTCTTTACATCTTACAGTGATTCCTTCTGCCAAAAACAGAAACTGCAATTGCCAGGAATTGTTTTTTTTTCTGAAGCATCAAAGTTCTCAGAATCAGAATAATATGAGTAAAAGGAAAATGTAGAGTTGTCCCTGTGCTTAACTAATTAAGCACTATGCTATGAAGGCATATGGGGCAATGGATGTATAGACCCACGTTTTCTTGACCTCGGCACTAGATGGAGGTGAGTGGCCAGCTTCATGCCTCAGCCACTTTACCCCTGGGGAAAGAGCCCCCGATACCCATCTGACAACAGACTGGGTTGGCCCCAGAGTCAGTCTGGACTACATGGAGAAGTGAAAATTCTTATCCCCACCTAGACTCAAACTCCGACCCCTTGGTTTTCCAGCCTGTGGCAAGTCACTATACCAACTGAGCTATCCTTGCTCTAAATAATGTGAGTACAGAAAACAATACTAATCTGGCTGGCAAATAACCGATGATTAAGTGGCAATCCATCTTGAACAGTACTTAACTGAAGGTGCAGAATAAGACTGTTCTCATAAGTCGATACAACAAACTAATACTACTGTCATCTTACAAAACACATACAGTTATCTAGACGAATTCACTGCTCCATTGAAAACAAAATTACTCCTTATTCAAACCCGACTAACATTCTGACATGGTGAGGACTCGGGTGCTATGCAACATACTTCTACTATGCTGGCACTGTGGATGTTACCTTGCAGCACAACAACCATAACCAGTTACCTCCAATAACTGTGTTTATTAGAAGATTCCCACAATTTTTAAACAGTACATATAAAATACTTTCTGGTTAATAGGGGTCAACAATAGCTTTCTATGATTCTGAATAAATCTCCTTTCTTGTCTATTATCATTCTAGAAGTCTGTATATTCAATAACACAACACCACAAATAAATTAAATAAAAATGACATGAATTACTACTGTCAATCCACTTACAATGCTATTACATTACTTTGGGACAAAGTCTGGCCAATAGTTGATGTAATATCGGTGTGTTGTGCCTTCAAATAAGCGGTCCAACCAGTTGGGAAGACCATCAAGCAGGTTTCCTTGGAAAACCACATTACTGTACTTGTCAGAGACAGTAGCCTGCAAAAATGATATACAAATGGTAGACTAAAAGCATCAGTACATTCACTAATGGAAAACAGGATTTGTCTCTATAGAGTTAATACTACTGTGACCTTAGTGAAGAATTTGAACATTTATAGTAAATTATCTAGAAAAAAATAATAATTCTAAAGATAGTACAAAATCATCAGTACATAACTGTACATTCACTATAGATAACAGCTATACTTTGATGAGCATAGATTTTAAAGTAAATACTATAGGCAATGACTTGGAACCTTTCAGATGGGAATCACCCCTTGTTCAAATCAGAAAGCATCAGTGCAAGAACCAGGGGAAAAATAAGATTATGGACTTCTGGGACAAAAACTATGTCAAACCTGCTGCAACCATCTAGTAGCCTAAAGATGGAGGCAGCAGGTACCTCCAAAACACTGATGTGTGTCTACCAAATATATATACATATATGGTATCACATACCAGAATACAATCTTGATACCACCATCAGAACCTCAAAAACAAGTGATAAATATATAAATAGCTGAAGTACCCATTTTTAACCTGGGATGTGGTTGCTTTTAGAGTAATATTAATCTTTGAAGTACTAAATACATGTTGTGCTAAATTAGTTACTAATTACAAAGCAATCCTTGTCCAATTGTAAGGTTGCATGAAGAAATGAAACAGAAAACCTCATGTGATGAGATGTACAGTCTACTGCAAATCATAAGTATCACTGACATATATTACTACGAGATTTAATGGGCACCCCTTAAAAATATTGACCGTTAACACTGGCTATCCTCACTGAGGTTTCTCATGTTTTCATCGGTACTCAAGGAAAATGCCATACAGAACAGTGATTAGGACTGTCGTAGTAAGATTATATCTTCCCAGAGTGACTAATTTCTCCAGTGAATTTTTCCATCACTTTTATGATTTTGTACATGATACAAAGTGAAATAAATTTTAAATGGATTCTCTTAACCTTTACTAACATGTGATGCATTACTGCAATGGTAAATGCACTACCTGGATGACCATGCATTCCACTTTCCAGTACCAATATCATAAACCAAGTTAATATGGCCACCAGCCACGCAGGACTCTAAGATTTTCAACTGCCTATTTCTGGATGAAGGATGTTAAGACGGTATTCAAACTGGCAACTGATTTAAAAATATTCTGGTAATTGCCTGTCATCTCTTTACTTACATCATCCAACAGGCGACTTCCTTGCTCCAGATCCGATGTTTCAGTATCATCAGATTCACTTGTGTCAAAACCCATGAAAGCACCATTTGTTCCAACGGCTGCATTACTAAAACGTTTCGTCATTTTCAGCATCCGCTTAAAAAAAAAGCGCTTATAAAACAGAAAAGTTCAACATATATGAAATGAAAACCCCATTTAAGGTTTCTGTAGAAAACACTGGACTTCAACATGAAACTGAGGGAAGTCATACATGGAGGTAATTTATCATAGAGATTACTGACTTCAGATCACTGATAATGGAAATTAAATAAAGGAAAATCTTCAACCAAGAAACATTAAATGTGGATTTTGGTATAATTTTATTCAGAACGGAATTTATATTTTTTATCAGTCAATCATAAGGAGTACAATATCTTCTTAGCAAGCTACGAAGAAAATAATATGTTAATTCACTGCTAATTATAATTAAATTTGAAGGCTTATTATCACAATGACAAATACAACAACAGCTCGACTTTAGACTCAACCAGTTGAATCTGTTAGACCCAAATTGTATATGATTCATTAAATTACATATCCATCTGTACTTTTGTGTTGTGACCCTTTTCCTCACCAAATACAGCATATGTTTCTTGCATCCCACAAGGATGGTAGTGACATTCATAACAGAAGGGTACATGATTTTTGATCCAAATATGTTTTAGATGACAATGCTCTCACAGAATGTGTGCACTTTTCAATGTCTGTTTATTTTTCAGATTATAAAAACAAACTTCTTACCTACAGGCTATAGACAAGACAACAATTTTCTGCAGTTAATTATTAGTTGTGAGTACAACATTACGTTGAAAATGCAGAACTGATTTAAAATGAACAAATTCCTTAATTCATATCATACTATCATACTTAATTCATTCATACTACATCAGGAACTTCAATTTAACTACAGTTATGCAAACAAATGAGTACTACAAAGCTGATGACCCTCTAAGGAACATCTCGACCGTTAAGCAAACCTGTTTCATTATAATACAGATCAGTCTCTTAAAAAGTCACATATTTTTAACCTCATCTTCCACTCATCATAAACAAATTCAAACTTATTTTTCAAGTGTATAATACATTCTGAACATGATTCCACTACCACAAACTCATTCCACTTGAATAAAAAATTAATCATGTTTGTTAGGTCTGTGGTGAAGCATCAAATATCATGGAACAAGCTGAATTAGTGATATTCACCTGTAACTTTTCATTAGTACCGCCAAGTAAATGCTAAATGTTGCTAATTAAAGATTTTGACTTCATCTCCTACACACAGTTTGCAATTATCCCATAGTCTCATCTCTCCATAAGCCTAACCAAAACTGTACTTACACAAAAAATAGATAACTAAAAAATCATGTTTTTTTAATAAAGTTTGATATTATCCCTTCTTTCCGTAGTCCCTAGCATAAAACAGAACATACCTTGGATGCTTTGCCCTTAATGCATTCTGGATGTTTAGCATGATACATGCAGAAGTATCTGCGATGCCCGTTGAGTGACAGGACAGTACCAATGCAGTTACGAGGATTGATATTCAAATCTCTTGGTTCCGGTAAACTTAATGTCAAAAGGCATTTGTACCAATCCAATCCACGTTCCAAAGTCATATGGCCAAACATAAGTGTTTTGTTCCTGCACACACAACACACATACATTTATTGTCAGAATTAGCTCAGTTTCATATCTAAATTGTCCATGTGGTAAGTATGTAAAAATGATAAATAATGCATAAGCAAACTCAGCCTAAGAAAAAAGTTAAATATATATCCTTCATACAAGGTAAAATTGCAACAAGACTTCTTGCCATTTAAAACTGGAGAACAGTGTGTCCATAATACACGATCTGTTGACGTTCGAAGCCTTACAGCTTCATAATCACAATAAATGAATGAAACAAAACTTAAAATTGCTTATTATGGTTTAACATGTACAATTCTTTTAAGGCAGCAGATTCATTCAGTTATTCAGTATAGAGGGGGGTGGGTTTCCCCATGCACCGAGACTAATAGTCTACTGTACGTCCCCCTTTAATTTCTACTGTCACCATACTCTACCCATACTGGTGCCCGCTATCTCCCCCTTCTGCCAGCGAGGTCGGCCCTCTACTGGCACTGGTACCCGATAATTTCCCCATCTACCGGAGGCATTGGAAACTACTTGGGCAGGAAACATTTCACCTAATTTTGCTCAGAGGTCTCCTAGAGACATGAGGATCTTTTACGTGCTGTAAATCTACAACACGGGACCCACGGCTTAAAAGTCTCTCCCGGAGGACTTGTTCCCTGAATGTGTCCGCCCTTAAAAATTCCATGACCCCCGCTGGGTTTGAACCCGCGTACCTTGAGTCATGAGGTGGGAACGTTACCCCTAGACTACGGAGGCCACTAAGGCAGCAGATACTGTGATGACATTCTATTGTGAACCCGTCACCTTTCCCTTTGAAGTGTTTTATCTTCTGGGACATAACACCATGTAGTCTGTTGGAAGTCAACTGACATTTCAGAGGAACACGTCACTTCCATCTTTAGGGGCAAAAAATAAACAAAGCAAGAAACCAGCATGAAGTTCTGCTTGCTACCTGCTTCACTCCGGTTTATTCCTTGGCTCATTCTTCAACCATGAAGATGGAGGGGACACATTCCTCTAAAATGTCAGTTTGACTTTCAACAGACTATACAGCATTATATCCCAGAAGATACAATCACTGCAGTGAGAACTTAAAATCCTAGCTTTCCCCTTTTCTGAGGCTACCATACTGGGGACCATTTATCTTGACATGCTCAAAAACTTTGTTCTTCTACAAGTGGAAAAAAGAGAAAACTGAAGTTTTCTTACAAAATGGTGTACTGCCCCTTTAACAACATTACTGAAGATGACCTTAATAAAATATTCCCACATTGGTGGGCGGCATGCAACCCCATTTCACAGGTTCCCAAGCCTCTTGGCCTTCTTTTTTGGGTATACATATATAAAAAGTGGACTTTATGGCACCACTGGATATGTACACAGTGTGAGAACATTGAAATACAGGATTATGCTAGCTACTGAAATCCTTAGCACAAGAAATGCTTGAATGTATATGCGGTCCCAGTATCTGCTGCACTACAAGAGATGCTCAAGTGAAATCTTACTACCACAAAATTTTATTTCATTCAGTTATGCATCATGCTTATTAAAATATAACATTTTGAGATATGAAACGCATTTCACAGATGTCCTGCATAATGCAATGATAACTAATAGTACATACTTTCGGTAAGGCCACACAATTCTGTGGAACTCTGGTAATAATTTGTTCTTTGACTGAGCATCTACCAGAACAACAATTGTACGACAGCCTGGTTTTAGCATTCGGACCATGCCGTTGTATGTCTCTGCACGCAGTTCATGCAAAAGTCGTAACTGCGGTACTGCTGCTTTTGGTGTTCTGTTGTTATTACATGTGAATCCGTCACTTTGCCCTGTATCATTAGAAATTAATTCTTCATCTGTAATGTTCTGTCCATGAGCATACTGCTGCTTCTTTATGCTTTCTTCCTCCATTCGTCTGAAATACAAATTAACACTAAAAGTTTCATGAGCTTTCTTTCAAATACATCAATATTATATTTAAGCATCCTGTTGCACTCTACACGATAAATGATACAAACTCCGTCCCAAGTGCAAACAATATATATTATATGTCTTTGATCTTGCTCTCTTTTACACTACATGTTTCAGCCTCAAACGGCCATCATCAGGTGTATAATCTCACGTTACTGTTACACTCCACTTAGTTTAAAATTTAACATTTTAAACACACATTGTTCCTTTCCTTGTTATTATCAAAATCTACTTCGTTGATATCTGTCTGGTTTATAGATTATTTGAACACGTTAATTTTTATTTTCCTGTAGTAGCACTATAAAATCTTTAGTTCTAATTTTAAAATCCTTTAAAATTTTCTCTAAATTTTAAAATTTAAAAGTGTTAGGGTTACTCGCCCTATGTCTAAAGTGCACACAGGAAGACTACACATAATAATACCTGTACAGTGTGGAAACAAGAACTAGCTGATGCAGCACTTTAGACATAGGGCGAGTAACCCTAACAATTTTAAATTTTAAATTTTAAAATCTTCCATGCCGTGTGAACACACCTGGTTCTGACAGCAGCCCAAAGAATTTTAAGCTGCTGGTTTTCATGGGCTTGTGAAACAATTGGATAAGTGCCTCAATGTACAGGGAGATTATGTTGAGAAATAAAAGCATTTTTCAAATCAGTACTCTTATTTGTTTAAGTTCTATATCCATTTGTAACTTACTGACTTACCCTCATATGTGAGGGTTTACAACACTCGCAGCTAAGAAGGGAACACACATCACAAGACACGGTTTACACAGAAAATAAGAAAAACGACCCCATAGTGAATGAACCACACGCAAGTTTTAATTAAGACACATAATATAAATAATCTTAACAAGCCTTAGTGAGTGTAAATTTATTATAGTTGACAAATACGCACTTTTTAAATACTTTTTAAATGGTGTTGTGAAGACATATGAGGGCAAGCAATGCAATAGATTAACGTAATTAGGGCACCTGATGATGGCACTATGTTGCCGAAACATGTCGTGAAATAACAGGTGAAACTGAGTGCACTACAAGACGGCCACTGTATACATATCACTCATATGTGTTGTGTTCCACCCATCTCATCTTCCTTGATTTGACACCCCACTGATATGTGGTGAAGGAACAAATTACATATGCTACTGAAGGAATTAACTGTTGATATTACCCAGTCCAAAGGTGGAATTCTGTTACTTACACAATATATGATAAAACATAGCCACCAGCAACAATAAATAAAATTGTAGCAAGGATGGATAGCAGGGGTAACAGCTGATCCTTTGTAATGTTGTCTTTGAAGAAATCAGCAGTCTGAAGAAGTTTCATGACAATTCTAGACATCATGCCCTGAGCATGTTCATCAATGAGCTCCTGAAACAGTAAATCCTGTATTCAGCTTCCACTTATTGGGGAGACAACTCCTGGCAAGATTCCGAAATATTACAGTAAAAACACAGGCAAAATTAGATCTCAAGTTCTCATGGCAGCAACCATGACAAATACTTCCAGAGTATTTTAGGATGTATTACAATATAAAGGATTGCTTTTTTTCCTTTTTACTTTTTCCATCATCCAGTATTCTAGAGAACGGAAAACACAACGTTTAAATAATTGGATCTGTTTCCTTCCTCAGATGAAGGGAAAAGAAGACACCTACTCAGCTGGACACCTTAGAAAAAGCTAATCTTAATCACTGGACAACCCGTCATATTTACTCGTACAGTTATTCAATCACTTGAGTCCACATTAATTTGGTGGGAGATAACAAGGAAATACACAATAAAAACTGTAATAAAGCGGATACATGCTTGGAACTGGGATAGAAAAGGATGTAGAAATTTGTGATACAGACATAACCAACAAAACTAAGTGCATGAGCACCAATGCAAAGAAATGGAAACAAAATGTGAAGACATGTAGTATCTAACACGAGTGCCATCTGTAGAATAAAACATGAACATTTGAGACTGAAACTTTACGCAAACCCATAAAGAATCTGTCACGTCATGAAACTTTACACAAACCCATAAAGAATCTGTCACGTCATACAGATCTTCTCTGTGAGTTACAAACCTCATTACTGATATGGGGGAACCAGACAGGAGAAATGTCCAAACTGGGTTGGCTAACGGGATTGGTTAAGCATGCCATATGGGCTGATTTCTTATATTTCCTATACCTGCTGTTAGGTGTCTCCCCCCCCCCCCATCATCTGATGACGGAAACATATCCAGTTTCCAAAACATCGTGTTTTCTATTCTCTAGAATACCGGAAGATGGAAAAGGTCCAAAACCCCAGTAATTCTGTGTGTTATACACCATCATCAGAACTACTTGATAAAATATAGTTTGGTAGGTCACTGCAAACATTTTGCTGCCGGTGTCTTTAGGGGAGAACAAGAAAAGCATGACAAGAAAATGTATGGAAATTGCAGGAGCAGGGACTGTGGCCAGGGCCCTGCACTAACCAACATGAGTAGGGAGAACAGAGTAAAGAAAATTTGGCCCTCAAAAGGGAGAGTAAAGTGAGTGGAAGATATAATGGGTGGGTTAACAGAACGAAGCTGAAGAGAGAGCGGAAACAGTAGCCACCGGACCCATCAAGATGCGCTCGTTTCCTCCACAACAATGATCTTCAACATACAGCTCAAATGACTCTGAAAACAATCAGTCAATGGGGATAGGATGTTTCTGTCATCCTCCTTATAAACTTGATTTATCATTCTTTGCTTTCCATCTATTTGCAACAGTGAAAGAGCACTTAGGAGTAGTTACTATAGGATTCTGACGATGGTGTATAACACACTGATCTGTTGGGTTTTTGGACTTTATCCATCGTCCTGGTTTTTAAGATAACAAATAAAAACACGACGTTTCGGAAACTGGATCTGTTTCCGTCCTCAGGTGAAGGAAAACACCTATTCAGTTGGGTCCCTTAGAAAGAGCTAGCCTCAATCACTGGACCCAACTGAATAGGTGTTTTCCTTCACATGAGGACGGAAACAGACCGAGTTTCCGAAACGTCGTGTTTTTATTTGTTATCTTAAAAACCAGGACGATGGATAAAGTCCAAAAACCCAACATATCAGAGCACTTAGGAGGCCAGGCATTCAAGTTAAATGCTTTCTGGGAGGGGCTGTTGAAATCAATCAAAAAAGTTCTTTGAAACTGGAATACGAGAACTTCCAGAATGCTTTAACACATATATTTTGAAGAAAAGTATTTAAAAAGTGATAATTTACTGCACTAACTGCAAAATTTAAATAAGTAGTTGAGGATAAGCAGAACTCATAAAGGCAATTTTGTGTTTTTTTAATTCGCTTAGTTGGGGTGTGGATACCAACTGGGTCCACTCAACACAGTGGCCACTGATTGGCCTATTGTAACCTGCCCCAGGTGATTATGATGATGCAGGATTTGGTGGATTGAAGACTGGCAGGGAAACCAAAGTACTTGGAGAAAACCCACCCCAGTGCCACTTTGTCCACCACAAATCCCACGTGACCAGACCCGGGATTGAACCCAGGACATCACGGTGGGAAGCCAGCGACTAACCGCTTCAGCTATGACGCGGCCATGTTGAGTTACTAGCATTAGATTTGGGTTTTCATGGCACATGTGTTCACTGCTGTAGTAATGTACAGCACTCAAAAGGCTAATCAATATACTGAATCTTACCTTTATTACAGCTTCACATGACAGAGCCCCAGAAGCATGCAAAAGTCTCTGAATTGTCAACTCCAAATGATCCCTTGTTTCATTCCACTCATGACTCTTTGCACCATTCCAAGTATGTGGGAGCCACTCATATTTTATATGATTATTGTCTCGCCTCCAGATTATCACAATATGTAGAAGTGGTTCCACTGGACTTCCTTCTCCTGTGATGCAAGGTATCACAGATGATGTTTGCACAAACATTTATAAAAATACACTGTACTGTAGGACAGGCTGGAATGAAGCTAGGATTTTGGAAATTGAAAGCAACAACAGGTATAAGAAATACAAGGAATCGGCCCATATGGCATGTTTAACTAATCTAATCGGTCAACCCAGTCTGGATATTTCTCCCATATGGACTCCCCTTATCAACAATTAGGTTAGCAACTCATAGGGAAGGTCAGCATGATCTGATAGACTTTTCATGGGTATTTGTAAGATCATCCCCTGGCGAGGCAGGTCAGAATACCTCCACCATAACCTTGCAAATCACAGAAGACAATGAAAAGGAAACCCAGTGCCTGGGGGTATAACTGGGCCACCCTGTCACTGAGGGACATAAATACAGAAACCCGGTCCTCAAGGTTCGGGGGCTTGATGCAAGACTGATGACCTTGCTCTAAAAATAATGTTGCCAAATCCAAAGACGTGAAAACTGGATGGTCTAACTCACAACATAAGTGACAAGTTTGGCAGAATCTTCTAAGGAAGGCTATGGCTCTAAAAGAACTGCTTTGCAAGTGATGGTGATGATCATGTTGATGAAGATGACGATATTTTTACAGGAATATCTATCTGTTCCAGTGTATGTCTAGTACAAAGCATTTCAACAGAGAAAGTTATATGATAGAGTGAATGCTTTTTGCAAGTGTCAGCAGCAGTACAGTACTGGGAATTAAAGCAAGCTGGTGATGTTTTAACTGTGTAAAAGATTTTTGGGTTATATCAGCAGTAAACTCCATTTTCATGGTCAAGTTGACTAAATATATTTTCATACACTGAACCTGCCTGAACTTACTAATTTCACTGCATGTAACACTTCTTCCCTTGACAGTTTAATAGTGTATATTGTATTGATTTGGTCAAAGAGTGAGTATGCACTTTACATCTAGAATATCCTTGTTCTAACACATTCTCATCATCATCATCAGTAATCTGTCAGACGACAGGTCCACAGTCTCTTCCAAAACAGTTTCTCCACTTAATGCAATCTTCTGTTTTTGGAAAGAGACTATCCAGGAAGTGATAATGTGGTAGTTTTTCCATTTGCTTTCCACATCGCAGTACAGCAGCCGTTCAAACCACTCTGGTCACGCCTGTTGCTATACGAACTTGAACCATCTCGAGCATCATTTGCTCTGTGCTTCAAGTCGCTGCTGATGATGCTGCTTCCGGCATCAGTTTTTGGTTTCTGGTGTCTCTCTTCGTCTGATGCCTACCCTTTGATCTGTCCAGCAAGGGAGGCCCTGCCAGTAGCTACGCTACCGCTGGTATAGCTCTCAGGGTCCTTGGCATACTCAAACCCCCTCACCACGATAAGGTGGAGACACCAAGGAGGGGGAACACATTCTAAAAAACTGGAAAATATAAAGTGAAAATTTGCAAGCTTATGTCACGATTTCTGTCATGATTTATTCAGTCGAACATTCCTAATAATTAAGATTCAATTTGGAACTTCTTAAGTTTCAGAGCACTTTATTCCAGACAATTACACCCTGATGCTCCATTTACTGTAGTGTTTTCAAGGACAAACTCAACTGTAGCTTTGGTGGATAATGCTGGTCTCCTTGTATCCACTAAGAAAAATAGAGACTTCTCTCCTTTCAGTGCTGAGTAATGTTTCAGGAATTAGTCCTTCTATAAGGCATATCATGGCTGCAAACAGCATTTCTCAGTTTCTAGATGGTTATTATCAGCCCTGTATTTCCTTTGACAATTTTCTTCCCTCAGTCCTATTCAAATCACTGTTTATGTTAACACGTTATTTGTTATTGGGACCTAAAAGTTTGTGACAATGGTACATTAGTACAAATATTTTTTGGGGACATTATCCATTGTCCTGTCTTTATCTAAACACGTCCTGTTTATTTTTGAAAACACATCGTTTCAGAGACTGGATTCTGTCTCCTTCTTCAGGTAAAATTTACTCAGTTGGGCCTAATCGATAGAGCTAGGGACAGGGACTAGGGAGCTAGGGACTAGCTCTATTGATTGGACCCAAGTAAGTAGGTTTTACCTGAAGATGAAGACAGAATTGAGTCTCCAAAACGTGTTTTGAAAAATAAATAGGATGGTATTTTTATATAAAGACAAGATGATGGATGATGTCAAAAAACATAATATTTGTATGTTATTTGTTATGTTCGATATTTTGGTTTTGTATATATTTACAGTGTTTGTCTATTATAGGTTACTTGCTGCTGGAAAGCACTCTAAGGAATTGAATTGTCATTACAATCACATTTCCTCTGCTGATGTTATAAAGGAATGAACAGTCAAAAATTCTATTTTGTAAAAACATTTTATAAATAGTGACTGCCATAATAAATTTATGCTTCACTGTGGATCATGCAGAACTGAAAAAAAAAGTCACATATATTCTTAGTTACAATAAAAGTACTTAGACTCTTATTATACTAAGTAAAACTATGCCCAAATCAACACATATAGTCTCAGTTGCATTAAAAGGTACTTGGAGTCTTATATTACACTAAGTAGAACTATGCCAAAATCAACCTACCATTAGCCAGCGCACTGACAAATTCTGTTTGTCTCTCCTGAAAAATGTATGTGAAGCGAACTCTATCTGCACTGTAGGGTGCTTCCTGTGCAAATTCACGTAGTGCCTGGCGCGGTTCATCGTGATATGGTGTATTCTCAGAAACCAACACCACACACAGACGTTTACGAGGGGGTGCCCTTTCTGGTGGACACAATGCATCAAACATACCCTGCACAGAAACCATGCAATTTAATAAATGATCCCATTAATATGATGTTTAAAATAATTTGTGGGTACATGCATTCCAAATTGATGATGATTTACAGCAGCTATTCAAAGTGCTCCCCTTTAACATTCCAATATATTTAAAAGAATAATAATAAATTCTGAGACACTCAATGAAATCCATCTTTCTTAATTTCTGCAATGATAAATCTGATTTCTCTTTTTGAAACATAACTTTATAAGCCTCCAACTTCCAGCCCCAGAGGAGGAGGAAACATGTGCATGCATGCACGCACGCACACACACACACACACACACACACACACATCCCCCCCTGGCACTACAGCCCCAGTGGGCCTAGGCCTACCTCCATGAACTTCTCCGTTCACTTCGGTTTTTTCTTGATCTTACACATTCGGTAGGACTCCTTGGGCGGGTGATCAGCTCGTCGCAAGGCCTCTACCTGTACACAAACACAGAAAAACGCACACACGCAAACTAAAACATCCATGCCCTGAGTGGGATTCAAACCCACAATCCCGGTTTCCATGCGAGCGAAGACAGTACATGCCTTAGGCCGCTCGGCTACCGTGACCAGCAACACACACACATATCTACAGTAATTACTGAGAAATCCCTAAATAATGAATCTCTGGGGAATGGTTATTCTTAAACTAAACTGAGGTTCTCATTAATGTGGAGTCAGGAAAAATTACATCAAGAAACTTCACATTCTTGTAACACTAAATGTAATTAAAATAACATAATTTTGTTAAATGAACACTTAATAAAACTGTTTCTACCCAAATAAACACAGTCACATAACCAATAATACCCAATTAACTTCTAAAATAATTAATGATATATGAAATCAAAACACACTGAAGAGCGTGGTCTTCTGGGCTGTAATGCAGCACACAAACACACCAGTGTTTGCCATCTGCTTCTTGTTTGGCTTGCTTTTGAACCTGCAGATGGAAGTGATATGTCCCTCCAAAATGTTGAGCTTTTTCTGAATTACACAGAAATATGACCCACAAGATCCACATTTTTCATAGTCACCACTGTAAGAACTTCAAATTCAAGAACACAGCAGCTGCACAGGAACAATTTCAAGCACAAAGGAAACACGACTGTCATCACATTGGCCACAGTTAAAGCAAATCAATGTACAAGCTATGGTAGGAAAAAAATTTATATTAAATGCAGGTTGTTCACCAAATCAAAATTCACTAAATGCAGCAAAAATAATAAACTGGATGAATACATATATTTACATGACATTTCACTATACGTGTACCAAATTTTAAAATACGGTTACCTCCTCAATAAATAAGTGCACACACTACATTTTTTCACTGAGTATTTTGTCACTGTCCAGCAATTTGCTCACTGCAAAATCAGAGATTTTGATACAAAGGCTATGTTGGAATATTGCATGTATCTATATACTTGCTGGTAACAGGGTCTGAATGCTCAGCACTGCTGACATCAAAGCTTTTGTCTTGGTTGGGATCCTAAACCAATTATATCCAGGTTCACAGCTTTACACTGTACTCATATCTTTTCTGTTTCCAATTCTGAATGCATTTCTTGCTCACACATTCAGTATGTGCCAAAATATACGGTACTGAAACTCACACATCTCAAACACCCATGTGCGTTTGTTGACGGGGCATAGCTCCAGCCGTATGTGTTCCCATTAGTGAAAAGGAAGTTGTGTTGTGCAACTGTTCTTAGAAATGTGTCTCTCGACGGAGGAAAAAGTACTGATAGTTGAGTATTATTTCCACTCATATGGAAGTGGTCATCAGCTCACTTCCTTGGTTTTGAGCAGCCAGATGTTATCATCCAGAAACTGCTACATAGTACATGTGTGACGACATGGTGTGCTGTCTCGGCACACAGTATATTAGGCCCCTATGTCATTGAGGATGAGGAGGCAATGCTCTTACCGTCACCCAAGAACACTACAGGGACATGGTGATCAGACCATTTCTTCAGGATGTGATAAGGTTCTGTCATGCAAGGGGCCTTCACATGAATAGACAGTGGTATCAACAAGATGTCTTTTCATTTCAGTACTGTATATTTTGGCGCATACTGCACACACACGTGCATGCACACATAAAACAGAAGGTGCTGTTTTACAATTCTTGTAGAAGCAATAAAAACTTTTTTGTTACAGTGAAGATTACTGTCTTTTGGGATGTGGTAACATGCAGTCTGGTAGGACACTACCAGTTTTGGAGGAATCTGCTGCCTCCATCTTCAAGGTACAGACTGTGAAAATGAAGGTTGCAGGTTCCTCTAAAACAATGATAACATTCCACCACAACATACAGCATCACCACAAATCTTCATGGTCAACAACGCAAAAACCTCACATTTTGCTTCGATACTGATACAGATCTGTACAAAGTGCAGTCCAAGTGTAGCAGTGTTTTTTAAATTACAAAACAGTTTTAATACTCAATGGCACTGGAGTCTGCAACCCTGAATGACAATGCATACATACCAAATATTGTTTCAACTTATAAACCAGTATACACAGTCTCTTATAGACAAATGTAGAAATACTCTGAAGATAGATTTACTAACAAGGCTGAAAGAACCTCCAAAATTTACAAAAATGTTATCATTTCATGTCAGTTGATTTGTAAGTTAGTTAGCAATCATTTGACTAAAAGCTAGCCACTTAAGTAAGACCCCATACCATGGAATTAATTGATCTACAGCAAAGAACCAAATGCAATACAATGAGGTATGACTGCAATAACATACCTGAGAAGATAACCTTGGTAACATAAGGTATTTGTTATTATCAATGACATCTTGCATTGTCTTAACAGGAATATCAGCCATACTGAGACTTGCCACAGATCGACTGATATTTTCATTAAAGAGGAGGAGGGTTTCAATATCACGAGGAACTTTAAATTTCCTCTGGATGTTCTCGGAGTTTGGAGAATTTAGGTGAACAAACCTGAAACACATGGAACATAAGGTTATCATGAACATGAAATCACTTCACATTCAAACTAGTTGTGAGCATTAATGCAGGTCTGGATTAGTGCAATTCTGACTCATCTAATTTCCTGTTCTCTGAGACCAATGCAATTTTATTGCAACACCACATATCTCGAACTATGGTGGATTTGAGGACTTCAAGGCAGCAATTATGAAGGGAATCATTCTGTGGGATACCATGTTAGGTGGGTGCCTTGTCATCACGGCATGGTGCATCCTCAGGTTGTGGTTGGAGGAGATGCACTCCAGATATGGAGGGAAGCTGTGAATATATTGGATAGGCAGTCACGGACAGTCGACAAGGGGTGGTCCTCCAGCTTGGGGGTTGGGCATGGGGCTAACAACTCCTCACCGTAAAAAATAAACTTGTTACGAAAATTCTCAAAAAGCCTCAGACCTGGACGGATTCCTTGGAAATGACCTAAGCTAAAGAAAATGGATATGAGATTTGGTACATGGAATGTTCGAGAGTTAGGACAGGATGGTACGGATTGGATTGATCTGGCTTAGGATAGGGACCAGTGGAGGGCTCTTGTGAACATGGTAATGAACCTTCAGGTTCCATAAAATGTTGGTAAATTCTTGAGTAGCTGCAGATTTGGTTTCTCCTCAAGAAGGGCTAAGCTCCATAAGTAAGTAAGTAATCATTCTGTGGGATATGACCCTCTGCAGTCTGGCACAAGAGCACCAACAACTGTTGTGACTTCGTCTTCAAGGAAAATGAGCAAGTGGAGCAAGCAGACTACTCACACTGCTTCCTCTTCAGCCCTGAACATGGAGGTAATACATGGTCTGACAAAGTCTGAAAACTCTTTGCAGTAAAAGTACTACATACCTCACTGCTGAGTATCACTGTGGTCGCCTTCAAAGTACTCCCCTTGGGAAGCTATGCACTGATGCCAGTGCCTAATCCACCTTTCAAAATAATTTTAGACCTGGCTTTGTGGAATGACCTTCAGAGCTGATGTCATAGTACTCCTGATGTCATCAATGTCATCAAGATACCGTCCTTTCAATAATTCTTTTATCTTTGGGAACAGAAAAGAGTCATTGGGGGCTAGATCCAGTGAATAGAGAGGCTGTTCCAGCACAGTTATTTGTTTACTAGCTAAAAACTCTTCTTTGCTTTTGTTCTTTGGCGAGCTTCTTTTTGGACCATTTTTGCACACAGCTTCCTCATGTCAAAATCTTAGTTAAGATTTTCATAACCATTTCTCTGTCAATGTTCACTTGTTCTGCTATGCTCCTGACAGTCAGCCGATGATTTTCATCCATAATTTGACAAACTTCTGCAATGTTTTCTTCAGTTCTGCTCATTGCTGGCCATCCTGATCTCTCTTCATCAATGACACTTTCACTCCCCTCAGAAAAACGTGTCGCCCACTTGTAAACTGCTGTTTCTTCATAGCATTATCCCCATAAACTTGCACTAACATCTCTCTGATTTCGCTTCCACTCTTGACAGGTTTAACAAATTTAATGTTTGTTTGTTCCTCTAATTCAAGCTTTGACAATCTCACAACGCATGCCAAAACACACTCAGACAATAATGGACTCCACTCAGAAAGAGACTGCCATAGATCAACAACAACACAGCTGTAAAATGCTGATATGCCTATATCATCAAACCATACTGAGATTTCTGTCCACTGCTGCCATGGCAAGCACGAAGTGGAGCATTCACAAACTTTACTGTCAGACCTCGTATGTTTCTCCAAAACATCAATACACTTCTACAAGTAATTCCTGTATAGGTAACAGTTACAACCTACTTGAATTCCTTGCCTTACATTGAACCCAACGGTTCTTTAGCACATTCACATGAACACACAAATGGATCCTACTCTGAGAAAAATCTTTACTCCACAGCCTCGCATGTTACTTCTTACAGATCAATTTTAGTATTATTAACCCACCTATGCCTAAGTCTTCCAGAAGTCTCACCCCTTCAGACTTTATCACTGCAACACCCTAAGCAGCCAATCACAGTGGCAGCATAGCCTAAGGCATGAACTGCCTTCACCCGCTCAAACACTGGGGTCGTGGGTCCGATCCCACTTGAGGCATGGATGTCTGTGAGCTTTTATTTTGTGTTTGTGTTGTTCTGTGTACAGGTAGAGGCCTTGCAACAGGCTGATCCTCCGTCCAAGGAGTCCTACAGACTGATCCTCCATCCAAGGAGTCCTGCGGACTGCTTATATGATTAAGAAACTGAAAAGCAGCTAAGGCTCAACAAAGGACTGTAAAGCCATAATCAGATAGAACACTAAGCAAATAATACTAGCATATCAGTAGTCATGTAACATTTATCCACTTCAAGTGCTATCTGTGGATATTTTTAGTCTTTTTCAAAATGAATACAAAATGTTTAGAAGTAGCCCTTTATATTTCAGCTTTTTGAAAATTTCCAAAGCTGCAAATTCATTAATTGTTTGAAAATCTGTCAAGAAACATGGTGTAACCCAGAAAAGTAAAAATTACAGCAAGAACAGTCATATAAAATGTTAACAGAGTAAAAGATGGAAAAATAAATGCATCAGTGTTACCTTATTCACAGTTCTATGGCCTGACATGGGTTATGGCAACATTTTCCAGGACTCCCTTTCCAACACCTTCCACAACCAGTTACTGACTCCCAGCATTTTCAGAGTTTCTTCTATATCTCAAACATTTTAGTTTGATCTACCCTGGCTTCTTCACCCTTCCAGCTAACCAGAGGTTAATATTTTTTTGTGAGTTCAGTATCATTCATTTTGGTTAGATGTCTGGCCATGTTAATATTATCAAGAACATTAAAAAAAAAGAAACATTCTCCAATACAACTGACAATGGCATCCTTCACATTATTTCACAATTAACCTTCTGATGAATTTCATCTGAATAATACCAAATATTCAGTTTGTACCTCAAAGGAAACAATAAATCTGCATTACAAAGGACAATGACTAATGCTGTTCACAAAAATAATTCCCGTTTATTCTGAAAATCATATGAAACATATATATACTCTACATACCACACAAATGCAGAGCTTTTTAATACCACCATTCCATAATGTGACTATAAACAAGGTTTGGGTTGGTTAATCATATTTATTGCACACTTGAAATTCACTGCTGCGCTATCTCTAATTCACATGCACTACTATTTACTACAGCACGTACTAAGTCTACTCAGCCTGCTGTGTCTTCATTGGTTGCCACCTGGCAACATTCCCAACACCATACATCCCTCAGCCTTCATGCTCCCAGACTCACATCCTTGCAGGCTGGCATCTATCTCACAACATGACTCCATGCTGCTATGCAACAGCTCATAACAATGGGGACTCCTCCGCCTTCCATGCCTCCAGCAGGAGCAACTGTCTACGACCACCTCCAATGGGTCTGTATCCCAACTGCTGACTCAAGACTCTCAACAGAATTAGCTGTGTTCCAATTCTACAGATACTGCTTCTGCATGGACCCACAGAGAACACCACTTCCCACAATCCCTCCACTGTTGCATGTGTAACTGTTGCTGTGGGAACGTGGCATGGACCACGCAGAAAACACCGGGTAACGTGCTGTTACAGTACTGTCTCTGCTGTTTTCAGCAAGTATGCCACAATATTAAAGCTGGTGGCACAGAGACTTCTTTCTGCATTATTTTATGACATCAAACTATACAGCGTCGAATGGCAGATTTACAGAGGAACTCGAAAGAATTCGGAATGAACTGCTCATGGCCTAATTGAGGTACTATCCTTGCATTTGCCTGGGGGGATGAAGGAAAACAATGAAAACCCTGCCATGACAGTCATGGTCCTGCCCAAGATTCAAACCAGCACCTCCACTATATCAGCCTAAATCAATACCACTACACCTATCCACTCAGTTGTGGCATATGTGATTACCACTGTGCTCTAAAGGGTTACGAACCTTAGAACTACCAGGGTTGAAGTCTTTATAAAGTATACACCAGAAGGGTGAATGTTATACTATTCAAGATACTTACCCAAATGCTACCCTCTCTCTGTAGTAGAAAGCCATGAGCAAGTATCGCAATCTAATAGATTCTTGGCGTTCAAATATGAGCGCTCGAACACGGTTATCTATCCAGCCATTCAAGAACGCATTCACGTTGTCATCTGTAATTGGCTGGACCAACTTGTATGGAAACCTGTTCCTCACAAAATCTGAAGAAAACAGAAATCTCATTTAATAAGCCTAATTCTTTTTTAAAACTTCTCTGTCCTAACTTACATGACACACTGCATGGTCATCCAGCCATGTCTAAGGACAGAACTACCTCTAGAAGGCAGATTCAGACACTGTATGACACAAGAACTTAAAAGTTAAAATATGTCCCAGTTTTTTAATATCAAAATCACATCTAGGAAATGGATTTTATTTATGTCTTCAGGTAGCTACCCTCATACACCATACCCAATGAGGGTATGAAAATAGCCCTAATCATGGGCCAGCACAGAAAAATCTTCACATTCTCCCCAGAACAAAAACTGATCTAGCTTCCGGGATAGGTAATGTCATGCAGTCTGAAGAAGTCAACCAATGTGTTGAAGGCACATATCATTTCCATCTTCACAGCTGAAGAGTAAGCCAACCAAGAAACCAGTAAGATGCAGTCAGCTTCATGCTAGTTTCTTGCTTGGCTCACTCTTCAATCCTGAAGACAGAGGTGGTATATTCCTCTGAAATGACTGTTGACTTTCATCAGGCTGATAGCATTACATCAAAGATGACATGGCTCTTAAAACAGTCTTACACTTTACATAAAACCATTGTCCAGTAACTTTAAACTTACATATTATGTTTTGTCTATGAGGAGCTGAGATAGCTCAGCAAGTACAGCGACAGGCTATATGTTGTATGGTTGGGGTTTGATTCCCAGCAGGGGCAAGGGATTTTTCTCTACTCCACAGGGTATAGTCCCTGGGGCCCACCCAGCCTCCTATCCAATGGGTACTGGGGACTCAAAGCAGCAGGGATGTGAAACTGACTACTAACCTCCATCCAGCGCTGAGGTCAAGAATGGTGGAGCTAGGCCTCTGTCCCCCATTATATCTTCATTATGTGGTGCTTAATTAAAAGCACATGGACAACTTTACCTGTGCTTTGTCTATGTAGTTTATAGGTTTTTCCTACAGTGAGTCCTGTCATTTAAGTCTCTTCACTGTCATGTGGCAACAGCAGAAATGAATTGATCTTCACAGACACTTGCATGTTTGCATGTAGTAACAAGTTTCACCCTGGGTACAAGTTTTCAGACAGATGTCATTTAATAAATGACGCTATAAACTACTCACATTTACACATGGATGTAGTTTACTCACTCTTACTGCCAATTCTGAATATGCAATATAAATTGCTCATCTTCAAATCTCTTTCTCACACTAAACCTTAATTATATGACTTACATTTTACTTCTATTGCTATATCCAAACCACATAACTTCAAAATACAGTGCGCATTTTTCTACTACAGCTAAGGGAATCTCACAAAATTTACTCATAAATGTAAAGAAATAAATTTATCCCTGTGCTTAACTAATTAAACACCACGCCATGAAGAGGTACAGAGGAGCAGAGACAAAGCTTTGCCATTCTTAACACTCGCATTAGATGGAGGTGAGTGGTCAGCTTCATACCCTAGCCACTTTATCCCCCAAGAAATTACCCCTAGGACCCACTATCCAAGTGGTCAGGCCCCAGAGCAAGTCTGGATGGTATGGAGAAGAGAAATGTTGCCTTGGCAGGAACAAGCACCAATTCCTCAGTTATTCAGCCCATAGCCTAGTCAGTATACAAACTGAGCTATCCAAATTTACTGCTGTAAAAATTAAAATTTGATACAAATATTTATGGGAAAAGAAAATGTGGCTAGGAGAACTTGCAAGAGCTGTAATGAAATAGTTAATACAGTTATGCACAAAAAGAACAATACTTACCCACAACTTTTTGTACACTGTATAATGTCTCTTTGTAAACACTTGCTTTTCCATCCATGAGTAAAATTAAACATGGAAGAGAATGAATACCAATTTTTCGAGCCAGTAAAGGCTCATTTTCTGCATGAACTGTTGCTATACCAAATCCAACTGGCTCCAATTCTTCTGTGACACGGCGCCAGATTGGTTCAATTTGCAAACATGGAAAGCACCAATCTGAATAGAACATGATCAGGTAGGGTACTTCATAACTCTTTGGAACAAGCTTGTGTTCATATGCTCTGGAAGACAAGAATCACACAGAATGACAAAAGTATACTTTCTGGCATTATGAACCAATATAAACTGTTTGCTGCTAGATATTGCACTGACTAACATGTGACTATACAATACTACATGGTAATCCCTAGAAACTTGGTCAGCTAATCAGAAATGTGTATGCATGAACTATCTTGATTTGACAGTACTGCATTGAATAATCTAGAAACTTTTTGGTTTAATTAAAATGTGTAAGAACAAGATATCTAGAGTCTATGGTACACTATATGGAAACCCTAGAAACTTGTTACATTCAATGGTAAGTGTATAAGCGTCCCTTTACACAATTGTTATTGCCATGCTTTGTGTGACCAATTCTATAACTGCCCTTTTAGTTTCTCTCATACTGAACACTTCACTTCTGTGTCGTTTCCTCTCTTATTCCTTTTGTATTTTTGTTCATTCTCACTACACACCTAGAGACCTTCTGTGTAGTGGAAAGGTTCAAGGAGGCAAGAGAATAATTGGGTGCCATATAACCATACACTACATGTGGATTATGAGAGATTATGGGGTTGCACTGATTGATGTTAATGGATGAACATGAGAAATCTGACTCAGGCCTTAAAAGGCCTTGCTTCAACGCAACTGGGTAACTCTTTCTTAAACAAGAAAACAATTAACTTCAATTGTCCACACTTACAACCAGACGTATTACACAAGTATTGATTTGTGGTGGACAAAGTGGCGCTGGGGCGGGTTTTCTCCGAGTACTTCGGTTTCCCCTGCCAATCTTCATTCCACCAATTGATCCACAATCACCCTCACCTATCATCTGAGGCTGGTACAATAGGCCATAAGTGACTGCAGTACAAGGGACTTAGTCCCACCCCACCAGCAATAAAAAAAATATTATGCACGTTTTACTCTTAAGTTCACTAATAGTCACCCTTCTTCAATGTTAAGGGTAAATGTCCTTAATTGGTTAGCAAAAGGCAAGGATTTCTGCATCTAGATCACTCAAACATTAGCTGATGACTCTTTTTGAAAGCGCCATTTGGAAGTTAGCAAGCATATACTTCAAATGATGTAAATTCCCCTCGTAATTTGTTTTTGACTGGTTGGCCAACTACGGGGTCCACAAAGCTAATCTGCACTGTCAATACAATTCCATATTTAATTTAAATACTTCCAGAACCTTCTAACAGATTTAAAAGCTTCTGGCAGCTTCCTTAAATTTGGCTGGGTTAACTGCCACACATACCACGCTAGTTATCACTGGATGGTCTCCTCTCACATGAGTCTTATCTGAACATTCCTTGCTAAAAATTCTCAGAACAGTTACAGCAAAAACTGAGCACATGTCACTCTTAATATAGGAAATTATATTAAGTCTTACAAGTATCAGCATAGTTAATATTGTCACGTGTTGGGTATGTCACGCAACAAATAACTTTATTTGGGTCTCAGATTTAGCGAATCTTTATTGGACACTCACACTTACACACCTTACAATTATTATCATTCGCAAGATCACTTAACTTCTGGCCCAATACTCCAGTGCGATGTCTCAGCTATCCTTGGCCATGGTTGGATCTCAACTGTTGTTGGTGCCGGCTATTCCAATACTGTATTCTTGCTGTCTTTTTCTCTCTCTGTAGCTCTCGGCTAATGTAGGTGTTCTGCAGACTCGATACCAGACACCGTTCCTCATTGTTTTGTTTCTGTCCGCTGTTATGTAACGGGCGCAACGAACTCTCTGTAGTTCATCTCCGGGGAGACACATTCATTGCTTCGGGAATGCTCCTTATAGATTACACCAGTAACATGTTTTGTCTCATCCGTTGTTACTCAACGACAATTCGTTGCTACGATTTGTCGCTGTGGGAGTTCGACAATTTCTACATATTCGTTGTCGTGGAAGTATCCATTCCGAGCGTAGCAGTTGTCGCGGCAATGGACGTAAGGTAATGCGTCACAATATTATATAATTACTAGTAATATTTATAAATGACTCTGGGGCAGTAATGATCAGTTATAAGTGTATGCATAAGATATCTAAAACCTACTGTAGGCCTACTGTACAGAACACCCTAGAGACACATTAGGTTACTTAAATGAGTGTGCATAAGGTATTTATTAGAATTCACATGGGACAAATGGAGATCCGCTTGCACCAACTGAGATTTTGTCTCACAACGGTGATTACACAATTTGTCGACAATAGCATCTGCAGTTGCCACAAAGCTTCATGTAAGGTACATTCTTGCTGTTACTTTATGACACCAAAAAGTATGGTTACCCAGAGAAAGACAACTATAAAATAAAACACAACATATTGTCATGTGCTAGTGACCAGACATGGGGTTTGGATTGATAATTTGATTACCAAAAATAACCATAACAGGTTCACTGATTTGCACTCCAGAGATCACTAAAACTACAGCATGTAGGAAGTCCTTCAATTTCTTTCTGCCATCACTAGTCATCACTAGTCATCACTAGGTAATGGCTGCTAACAATGCAACTCAAGACTGCATACTAACCGCCAACACTGACCTCCAACTGACTGCTAACTAAACTGTTTGTCCAGTTGGTCTCTGTTATATAACCTCGTGACAGACTGTATAGACACTGCCCCCAATGGCCCCCCCCATTATTGCACATTTGTTTGTTGCCACAGACACATGCTTACTGTGCCACTGGCTAGCAGTGGCCACATAGACAACACTATGCCCTCCATTCTTGGAGTTTATTTGTTACCATGGACATGTGTTTGCCACACCACTGCCTAGTAATGGTCAGATCTATTTGTTCTGCTATTCTGGCTCTCAGCTGTCATGTCACAATATTTTTTTTTACTTCAGGCTCTCATGGCAGTGAATACAAAAATTGCTGTCACCTGGGATTTGATGGTGTGTAATCTGGTAGGATACCAAAGTTTCAGAGTGCATATCCATATTTACTGCAGAAGGGTTTCTACTCAGAGTTCATTTTCCCCTAAAGATGGAGAGAGCAGGACCAGTACCCTTCTACTGGACTATGCAGAACAGCATCCTAGAAACAAAACTGGTGGATCTAGAGGGTGTGTGCTCAGTACAAAACTTGGCAGGAACATTGTCTGTCCTGAATGCGGGTTTTTATGGTTTTCCTCAGTCACTCAAGGCAAAATGCCAGATCAATATATAGATAAGGCCACAACCACATCCTCTGACACAGCTTACATAATGACACTGATGTTAAATAAAGTCCACACACATCTCAGAAGACACTAATTTTCACAATATAGTTTCTCTTTGATATGATCCATTTTCCTCTGAGAAAAACATAAAACGAAATAAAACTCTGTTTCATAAACTAAACAAAAGTACTTCTCTAAAAAAAAGCATGGTGCAAGCCAAGATCCGGCCAACCATCCAAAAAATGTGCAGCAGCAGATATGTGAACAAAGCCTCCCATGGTGAAACTGGAGCAGTAAGGCTGGGTGACACTTACTGGTAACTTTCCATACAAATGTGGCACCAAACAGTGAAAACCTCTGCCATCTCTAGTACAGATACATTTATCTGACAAATTTTTCATCATCATGCTGTAATAATCTGCAGCATATTTAGGATTATGACCAATGAAAGAACCTGGCCAGATTAGTATTAGATCTGCACACAAGCGCAGCACGGTATCATATGAAGTAAATGGAATTCTGTTCTTGGATTATACATTTTTATATACTACCTAAAGAAAACAACATAAATTTTGTAGGACTGGAAGTCTACAAGGGGAAAGCAATCTATTAATTCTACCCAGAATTCCTCATTTTCAAACTTCAGCAGTCAACAGTATTTTTTTTCTGGAACAACAAAAAAACACATCTCTAACAAAGCATGTAGGCAAGACAGAGAATGAAATACATAGAAATATTTACATTTTATTATAAAACTTCCACTTGAAAAAGTCTGCATATTTCTAATTTTTTTTGTTTGTTGTGACATTTCTGAGAGGTTATGGCTCACACAGAAATGCAGACACATATTGTGACAACAGATCTGCTTTGTTGTGCAAAGTCTATATTGTAATGCAATTAACAGTGAAAGATGTTCAATGCCATGCATTAGCAAAAGCAGTAAACATACCTTGTTGTAACTCTCAGCTTATGGAAAAGAGTGATGTCACGGTCCTGGAAACGAAATTTATATCCACCAGTCTGCGTTCCAAATAATTCCTCCAAAGGATCAAACCTTTGATACTGATTATAATCTCGTTTTTTGCGGAGCTGTGGACTTTCTTCCACCACTATACCAAAAGTATCAAAATGTTTCTTACGTTCAGGATCCGTCAACAACTGTGAAGAAATGATATAGCTATATAAACAAGAAAAGCATACTGAGATAAACTGCATTTTAAGAATCAAATTTTACAACTCATGAAATGCAGTACTTCAAAAAAATCAGATCAACCTGAATTAATTTGGGATCTGTCAATAAAGTAACCAGAATGCTGTTTCTGTCTGTAAGTGGCAACATACGACAGCATAAGTCATAAGCAGTTTCTTGGGTAGTAACAGTGTTTTCCCTGAATCAGTGTTTTGCTCCCTTGCAATGGAATGATAGCAGTAGTTTAAGTGTGAAGTGTACACAGTAGGTCTTAGCCTCAGGGAAGGAAAAATCTGCTCTCCAGGTAATGTTGCAGGTGATTTATAGTAACATGAAGTCAATGTTTGCTTATAGCTGTGCTCTGGGAAATGTGGAAGATGGCAACATGGTCAACATACAATGATGTTGAGACAGATGAACCAATGGCAGCAAAAAGTATACTAACAATAACTGAAAACGAGGTCACACTAAGGCCGCTTTCAGACAAGACAAACGGTGGCTGGACACAATGTGTCTAGCGACTGCAAATACGTTAGCATGAATACTAGCGTTCACACAAGCGTCTCAGTGTCCCACGTCCAAGACACTGTGTCACAGCTGTGTCTTTCTCCTTCAGTGGCCGAGACACTGACTTGTGGTCTGGCCACTCGAAGTGCATTGTGTTGTATGCTAGTGTTCAGATGGGACATACACAGTCTAGCGCCATTGATGAAATGGTGGATAAACATTTTGATACCTCCATCTGAATGACTGAGGGCAACATCAACGTGGGGTTCTGACATCAGAGCCACTAAGTATACGTGTTGTGGCGTTGAGTGGCTGTGTCCCAGACACTAGTCACAAGCCACCGTGTGTCTTGTCTGAAAGCGGCCTAAAACATATCTGTGGGACATTAAATTTTCTTGAAGCTAATGTGCAGGTAAGAAAGACACTGTCAAGACAAAACACAGTCGTGGAATGAGTTCAATTGTAAGATTGCTGCAGTGGTCGGTTGTTTGGCTATTATACTGCCACATAGCAACATATCTTTGTCAGTTCCAAAAAGATGGAATCACAGCTTTGGCATAAGATGAAATAAATCTGGATTTGGTGTTTCAGGATCATTAAGTGACCTAAATTGTACTGTGCATATGAAAGCAGTTTCTTCTCTCCATGATCTAGCCAGGCAAACGGTTTACTATATGTCTCATTGTCTGATATACACGATTAATGGGACTAACAGCTCGATGACTGGTTGGGAAGGAGTGATCCTGCTGGGTTTCACTATTGGGATGAGTATCACTTTTCTGCGCCGGTCACGGTAGCCGAGCAGTCTAAGGCATGCACTGTCTTCGCTTGCTCGGAAGCCGGGATTGTGGGTTCGAATCCCACTCAGGGCATGGATGTTTGTGTGCGTTTTACTGTGTTTGTCTACAGGTAGAGGCCTTGCGACGAGCTGATCACTCACCCAAGGAGTCCTACCGTATGTGTAAGATCTAGAAAAACCGAAGTGAATTTCATGGAGGTAGGCCTAGGCCCACTGGGCCTGTAGTGCCAAGGGGGAGGGGGAATCACTTTTCTACAGGCAGTTGGGGCTGAGACCTCTTTCCATACGTGGCTGTACATGGGCAGTAGAAACTCTTCATGTAATGAACAACAGAGGACATGTATGATCTGAGCTTCTCACAGTGGTGGTTACAAAGGGTTCTATCTTCCAGGATATAACTCCATTCAGTCTGTTGAAAGTCAGCTGCCATTTTAGAGAAACATGTTGCTTTCATCTTCAGGAATGAAGAAGCAGAGTTTGCTACTACTTTATGCTGAATTTTTGCTTGGTTTATTCTTCAAACAAGAATTTGGAGGCGACATGTTACTCAAAATCATCAGCTGACTTTCAACACACTGAACAGCATTAAGTGCTACAAGACAGAAATATTTAACAGGGGACATGTTGAGACAGTATTACTTTTCTTTTTATTTAATTAACAGCACATTTGCGACCTACTCTTGATAATATGGAGTAATAAATAAATTTGTTCCCAGTAGGTGTCTTGAGTACAGAAGAAATCCACCAATGACACTCTGACAGGCCCTGTTCAGGAATGGTGATGGTTTTAATTTTTGGCATCTGTGGGCTGTGGTAGGTCAGACAGCCATTGTCTCCTAAATCTTCTTCTTACATTTGGTGGGTTGCTGATTTCTACAACTAGTCTCTTATTGTGTCTGAGTATGCTTTGATTGCAGAGTGCTGACAATCTATGTATTTCTTCTATGACAAATGGGACTTGCAGTTCACTGCGGATAGTAAAGTTGGAGACATGCCAAGGTGCTTTAGTTACTGAACACAAGAATTTGTACTGAAGTCTTTGAATTATTTTTGTATTTGATAGTTTTGTACAGCCCCATAGGTGTATACAATATGGGTTTTATTATGCACTCATATAGTAGAAGTTTGTTTTCTAAGGATAACTTGGAGTTCATTAGTGATAGGATGTTATACTCGTACATAATAATAAGAGGTCGCTGGTGTGATATCATTGTTCTGAATGTTCATGCCCAACAGAAGATAAAATTTATGATATAAAGGACAGATTCTATGAAGAATTAGAATATGTACTTGATAAATTCCCGAAGGACCATATGAAAATTTTGTTAAGAGATTTCAGTGCCAAAGTAGGGAGGGAAGACACTTTATAACCAACAATTGCGAATGAGAGTTTGCATGAAATTAGTAATGATAATGGAGTTAGAGTAGTAAACTCTGCCACACTGAAAAATCTTACTGTCAAAAGTACAATGTTCCAACATCGTAACGTCAATAAATTTATTTGGACATCTCCTGATGGGAAGACACACAAATAAATTGACCATATTTTGATGAACAGGAAGAACAGCATTCAAGTATACTTGATAAATAAGATATAAAAGTTTGTGACGATGGACAACATCCAAAAACATGATATTTGTACTAAGTATACTTGATGTCCGATCATTTAAGGCAGCAGATTGTGATACTAACCACTACCTGGTGGTGGCAAAGGTTAGGGGAAGACTGGCAGTGAGCAAATGAACAACGCACACAGCTCATATGGAGAGGTTCAATCTCAAGAAATGAAACAAGGTAGAGGGTAAAGAGAAGTACTGTGTCGAACTCTAAAACAAGTTCATGGCTTTGGAAAACTTAGACACTGAGGTGAATGTTAATAAAGCTTGGGAAACTATAAGAAAGAATATCAAAATTTCTGTCAAGGAGAGCATAGGTTATTATGACCAGAAGAAGCATAAGCCATGGTTCGATGAAGGGCACTCAAAATTATTAGACCACAGAAAACAAGCCAAACTGCAGTGGTTACAGGATCCAAGCGAAATAAATAGGGATAATCTGAACAATATAAGACATGAAACCAGCAGGCATTTCAGGGGTTACCAACCTAGAAGTAACTTAGTGAAGGATGAGAATGGTGATCTGCTTGGAGAAGTCCTAAACATTTTGAATAGGTGGAAGAACTGCTTCTATCAGCTATTCAATAGACATAGGGTTAGTGATGTTAGGCAGATACAAATACGTACAGCTGAGCCGTTAGTATCTGATCCTAGCCCTTCTGTGATTGAAAGTGCTATTGCCAAATTGAAAAGGTATAAATTGCCAGGTAGTGATCAAATTCTGGCAGATTTATTCAAGCAGAAAGCGAAATATTACATTCTAAAATCCATAAGCTAATTCATTCTAATTGGAATAAAGAAAATTGCCTGATCAGAGACGTAGGTGGGTAGACACTGTTAAAACAGATCTTAGAGAGATAGGATGGGGTGGTATGGACTGGGTCGATCTGGGTCAGGATAGGGACCAGTGGAGGGCTCTTGTGAACACAGTAATGAACCTTTGGGTTCCATGAAATGCTGGGAAGCTCTTGAGTAACTGCACAATTGGCAGCTTCTCAAGAAGTGCTCAGCTCCATGAGTGAATGAGTGAGTGTGTTTTTCAGTGATGCATAACTTTAAAAGTAGGTAGTAGGGGCTGGGGAATGTATTTTTGATTTTACATAGTAGTCCAGTGTGCCAGACCTTGTCAAACGCCTGACCTACGTCAATGAAAACTGCTGTACACAATGTTTTTTTCTCTGAGGCTTCTTGCAATCTTGTTTACGATTCTATGTATTCATTGTATTGTGGAGTGTTCTTCCTTCAATCCAAATTGGTAATCGGGAATAACAGTTGACAGGTCTACGTAGTTTCTAATTCTCTTCAACAGTAATTTTTCAAAAAGCTTTGATGTGACTGGCAGCAAACATTTGACCAATAAGAATTTACTTCGCTGGCTGGTTTCCCAGGTTTAGGTATATGATCTTTGCGAATTTCCACATTATCAGGCAGTATGACATTCTGAGCATGCTGTTATAGTTCGTCATTAGCAATACTGCTTCTTTTATTGGTATTTCTTGTGATAAGGTCATAACTGGGCTCTTTGTCTAGATTTATGCTCTTAATTTCTTATATTATATTTAAGCATCCTGTTGCACTCTACACGGTAAATGATACAAACTCCGTCCCAAGTGCAAACAATATATATTATATGTCTTTGATCTTGCTCTCTTCTACACTACATGTTTCGGCCTCTAACGGCCATCATCAGGTGTATACTCTTACGTTGCTGCCACACTAAACCCAGTCTAAAATTTAACATTTAAAAAACACATTGTTATTTTCTTCGTTATTATCAACATCTACCTCGTTGATATCTGTCTGGTATGTAGATTATTTTGCACACGTCAATTTTGATTTTCCTGTAGTAGCACTATAAAATCTTTAGTTATAATTTTAAAATCCTTTAGAGCACACATAGTAAAGACAAGCAGCGGCACGCACACAGGAAGACTACACAGAATAACACCTGTACAGTGTGGAAACAAGAACTAGCCGCTGCAGCACTTTAGACATAGGGAGAGTAACCCTAACAATTTTAAATTTTAAATTTACAGAAAATTTTGAAGGATTTTAAAATTATAACTAAAGATTTTATAGTGCTACTACAGGAAAATCAAAATTGACGTGTGCAAAATAATCTACATACCAGACAGATATCAACGAGGTAGATGTTGATAATAACGAAGAAAATAACAACGTGTCTTTTAAATGTTAAATTTTAGACTGGGTTTAGTGTGGCAGCAACGTAAGAGTATACACCTGATGATGGCCGTTAGAGGCCGAAACATGTAGTGTAGAAGAGAGCAAGATCAAAGACATATAATATATATTGTTTGCACTTGGGATGGAGTTTGTATCATTTATCTTAATTTCTTGTACTACTTCTCTAGGTGAGAAGGGTTTGATAGGTAACAACATTTGACATGGTATTTCCAGGAAGTCTTCAATTTCACTGTCATTATGAATTATGTTAGAAAGTGGCGTAAATACCTGTTCAAGATGGTCCGCGAATGTTGTGGCTCTTTTACTATCACTTTTTGCCCAGCTTCTATCTGATTTTCTTAACGGTGGTATCAATATCTGGTGTCTTTTGAACTTCCTTGTTGCCTTCCAGATTGTGTGGTCATCTTGAGAGAGAGACGCGATACAGTGTGCAAATGTTTTATTCTTCGCATCTCTTAGTAGTTTTTGCCTTAGTCTGTTATAAATAAGACTTGTCATTATTGTTTCTTGATCTCTGCTATCTGCTTCGTGATCTGCGTTTTTTGGTTACCAGCTCATGTATACGGAAAGTGATATTATCTATTTTCTTTCTTTTGGGGTGGGTGCTGAATACCATGCTCCTTCCTGTATTAAGGTGGTAAAATACTGCGTTACCTTGTCCAGTTCATTCGGTTCTTTTATTCTTAAATTCAAGTTCATGTCTTCTTATATGTATGCATGAAAGTTGTCCCAATTTGTTTGTGTTGTGGCAAGTGTTGGAAGAGTTGATTTACTTACTGCATATGTGCTCATAGTTGCAATTACTGGAAAATGATCTGATGATAGCTCAAAGCTGGATTCAACTTGCATGTAGTTTGATGTGACACTGTAGAGTATAAAGACATCCGACAGGTCTGGCAACTTATTTGGGTCAGATGGCCAGTAAAGCTGTTTGCCAGTGCTGAGATATTTACAGTTTTGTCTCCTTATGGCATGTAAGAGATTTCTTCCTTTTGGTGTCTCAATCCCCATTCCTTATGTTTAGCGTTCCAGTTTCCACCTGTCAGGAATTTAGATCCCATTGACTGGAAGAACACTGTGTACTCTTCGGCAGATACAGCGTGCCTGGAAGGACAGTAGATCGCCTAGACTGTCAAAGGTCATGGGTCAGCAGCAACTTGAATACCAGCAGCTTGTATTTTGTCTGACTGGTGGTGTAGAAGTTCATGGTGAGTCACTGCACTTCAAATTATAAGAGCTGCACCCCCATGTTCAGTGCCATCTGGGTGAGGAATATGGCAGACTTTGTAGTACAGTATTTTAAACATTGTTCTAGTAGCAAAGTGCGGCTCTGACATTAATGCAGTATCTATTTTGTGTATATGTATGAAGTTTTGCAGCTGTAGTTTGTGATCTGACAGCCCTTTGCCATTCCATTATTGGGCGATTTTGTTTATAAGAGTGCTTAGCATGTTTAATACCACGTTTTGATTGATTAGTTGGCTGAACATAGCTTTGAATTCATTTAAGAAGGTTAAGAGCTACTCTGATATGTTGGGTGACTGCAGGTTTTGTGAGACTATTTGGGAATAGGGAGTCTGTTGATTTGCTGGAGTTGGGACTGGAGGTTGATTGGTGTTTAAAGGAGGAAACTGGTTATTAATGCTGATGTTAATATTTTTTGTTATGTCACTGAGTGAAGTTTCTGAGACAGTATTCGCTTAGTGGGGGGTTCAGTCCAGCTGGGTCCACTCGGCACTTTGGCCACTGACTGGCCTATTGTACCTGAACCCAGGTGATTATGATGGAGAATTTGATGGAATGAAGATTGGTAGGGGAAACTGAAGTACTCAGAGAAAACCTGCCCCAGCGCCACTTTGTCCACCACAAATCCCACTTGACCAGACCCGGGATCGAACCTGGGCCGCCATGGTGGGAAGCCAGCAACTAACCGCTTGAGCTATGGTGTGGCCTTCTGAGACAGTACGCTTTGTCTTGTGTTGCAAAAACTGTGTGCATACTTCATGGAACTTTGACAACTAAAGAAGTGGCGTTTAGTGGTAATAGTTCTGCATCTTATTTAAGAACTTTAAACAAAGGATCACAATTGTCCAATTGCAATCTGAGGATGAAGAAGAGGTGAGTGTATTGGCAACATATGCCTGAATGGTAAAGATATGCCAGGTACACAATGGGAACTGGTGGATGTGACAGGAAGCATCTTGCTCATAAAATACTCCACCACAGTCGAGATACTGAAACTCCTGTTCTTCAGACGTAACTGACTAAAAGAACCTCATCCATAACACATTTGAATGTGGTGAACGATGGACTGCTAGAGCCTGAACACAAGGTTGTGTACCTGTATCTGAAATTCCCAAACTGAATAAATGTGGGGGGTAATTGCAACATTAGATTAGCAGTTTGCAAGGGCTGCTGATACTTCTAGCAAAAACATAAATGTTGGAGACAGTAAACAAGAGAGTACATAGATTTAAACAGATAGCAACACTGTGCAGTGGAAACAGGACATTAACTGACAGGACAGTAGGCGCAGTCTGTAACTACAAGGTGTTCAGCAACCAAGGGACCAATAAAGAAGTTGAGATGTTTAAAAAATGGTACAGATGGCACAGGAAAATAAAAGAGTGTAAAATAAGAGGAAGAAAAACTTGTCTCCCTCGCGTTCCTGTTAGGATATGGAGCAACCTATCTCAACGTGGGAAATTAACATGAAAAATTTTCAAGAACTGCTGAGACATTATAATCCAAGTATACAAAGTGAGAAGGAAAATACTCTGAAGCTAATACACCCACCAATGGTTAGCAATATATGTTCTATAGACTGGTGGTTCTCAAACTTTTCCAGACCGTGCCCAGTACATTCTTTTTCTATAAGGCGAGGGACCAGTACCAGTCCGCGGCCTGGTGGTCGAGAAACGCTGCTACAGACACAGTCTGGTTACTTCAGTCCGGTATGCACACCTTCTGCATTATGTTGGTTCATGTATATACTTGGGCGCTACTTATTTTCATTCCTATTCTACAAACAACACTGTCTAACTATAATTCACTATTACAAGCAATGAGGATTGCTCTGTATATTTACTCTTTTCAATTTCTTTTCTCTTGTCTGTAGTGGGGATGAATAAAAGAAAAATGAGGTCACAGTCATTTCTACCATTACAGTTCACAAAGCTGTATTACTGGATTTTAGTAGTATGTTCATGAACTAATTCTTTCATACTGTGGATTAATTTGGAAGTATTACTTCATGAACCCTTCATACATAACAATAAAGACCTTACCTCATAAGCTTGATTAATTTCCACAAATCTATTTTCAGCCGCAGGGTCATTGTTTTTATCAGGATGCCTAGAGAGAAAACAGAAAAACATACATTGCTTTACATGCCTCTTGTAATGGATACATATTACCACCAAAAGCATGACCTAACCAAGCAGACTGGTTTACCATTAATGCTCTAGATTGTATTTAGAGCGCTTGGTTCAAATTCCTGCTGGGACATTGACTATCCTGACTGATATTTTTTGTGGTTTCCCCCAGTCCCTCCAGATAAATGCCATGATAGTACCATAATTTGGCCATGACGGATTCCTTCTGAATTCTTTCCAATTCATCAGTCATCTGTCATCCTACAATTCTGCTGTAATGTAGCATCCTGTTGCACTGTGCCTGCTGTTTATTCATGTATTTGCTGCCATCTCACGTGAGACACTAAAGTTTTAAAATTCAAAATTTAAAGTTCTTTAAATCTCTCAATTGTTTCTGATGGTATGTCTTTATGTAACACATCTATTGTACAACACGTTTCTGCATACAAAAGTACAGTGTACAGTGTACAAAAGCGCAACAATTTCTCCAACAATTTTAATGTTCCTGATGAAGGCCAAATACACTGAAACATGATGTCCAATATATGTGTTAAATAAACACATACAACCTGACACAATTAAGAGATAGATTTTTTAATTTTAAAAATTTAGTGTGAGTTCCATGTGAGACAGCAGTGAATATATGAATAAAAAGTAGTCCATTATTTAGTGCTACATACACTGCCATACTGAAGTCACAGTTGCGCAGGTGCAGTCGTGGACAATGCTCAGACAACATGGAAGCAGACAATCACGGGCAACGGTGGACTGTGCGGTTTCTCACACATTCACACGAGGATAGCAGCCGTATGTGGAGAAGCAGCACCAGGTCGCAGACCTGTGTTTCGCTGGATAGCAGAGTTCAAAGACAGCCAGGACTGTGCAGAAGAAGGCAAAAGCAGGGGGCATCCAGCAACAGCACGCACACCAGACAGTACCCAGCACATGTCCGACTTAATACTGGAGAACAAGTGCATCATTTTCGATGAACTACAGAACGCAACAGGTTTGTCATGCAGAACACTGCACACCATCACCCATCAGGACTTGAAGATAAAAAAGGACTGTGCTCAATGGGTGCCTCATTTTCTCACCATTGTGCAGAAGCAGAAGTGTGTGGAGACATGCCAACAGTTGCTGCAGCTCTATAGCGCAGATCTGATGGAGTTCTTAGAGCGTCTAGTCACTGTGGACAAGTCATGGTTCTAGAATGAGACTCCAGAAAAGAAACACCAGTCCATGGAGTGGAAGCAGCTGGGAGCCCTCCTCCCAAGAAGTCACAACCGGTACTATTCATCCAGAAGCAAATGGCAACTGTGTTCTGGAATCAGGAGGGGATCCTTCTGTTGGATTGGCTGCCCCCCAATATGACCATCGAAAGTGATCAGTACTGCAGTTCACTGCGCCAACTCTGCCGACGCATTCAGCAATGCCGCCACAGAAAATGGGGGTGTGGCATTCTTCTCCAACATGACAATGCGCAGCCACATGGCAGTTGGCAGACCATTGCCACCCTGGGTACTCTAGGGTACACCGTGGTGCCTCATCCACCATACTCGCCCAATTGTGCCCCTAGCGACTACACTCTATTCGATGCAATGGAAGACGTCATGCAGGGTAAGATGTTCACCTCCAACGACGAGCTTGAGGTAGCTGTCCAGCAGTGGCGCCGGGATACCCCCAAAGAATGGTTTGCTGTGCAAATATGGAAACTGCCGGAATGATGGCAAAAGTGAAGAGACATTGGCGGGGAATACCTCTAATATATAATCTGTATGTATTTTGTTCCAATAAATGGTTACTGTGAAGAAAAAACATTTAGTGTCAATCATTTTTGAACGCCCCTAGTAATTCTTCTATCAAAATATTCTGACAAATATAAACATCGTGCGGTTTTCATACAAACTGAAAATCTAATCCAAGTTTACTACTGAAAATTACACTTTATGTCATCTACTTTTATGAAATTACCTGCTGTTACAAGTTTCTTTGAATTGAATAAACTATGCTTCATCTTACAAATGCTACACAACACAAAACATGACCTCTGCAATGGAGAATTTCAAATACATGAATGTAAATGGTGCTGTAACTTCTCGTGGTTGTAGTGGTGTCTTCTCAGTCTGTCCTTTCCTATTTTCAATATATTAAAAGGCGCATGAATAATAATTAATTATTGGTCCTCTATGAGGCACACCCTTTTGGTCTAGATCTAATAGAAACGTTGAAACACACCTACCCCCAAACTATCCTATCAACTCTGAGCAACACTGAAACATCACTACTCTACAAAATACCAGAAATTTTAGCAAACGCACATGTGATCAACACGATATAATCTCCTTAGCAACACTGAAACATCACTACTCTACAAAATACCAGAAATTTTAGCAAACGCACATGTGATCAACACGATATAATCTCCTTAGCAGATGATTAACTTTAAGACGCGAACACTTACCATTCCTTCGCCAACTGTTTATAAGCTTTTCGGATTTGTTGCTGCGTTGCAGTTTTTTGAATCCCTAATAATTTATACGGATCACCTAATCCTTGAGCACCGATATACACCAGTAACAGGCAAAATATATGTTTGTGCCATCTCATTTCTTAAAAATCCTTTAAGCAATCCAGAATACGGAAATGAACTATAAATATAGCACAAATCCTTGACAGCCGAAGCAAAACACTTCTAATATTGATCTACGCCTCCATGTTACACCTTGTCATGGCCACTATAATCCCCTACGATCCATCTTACCGCATAGCGGAAAGCGGCAGCCGCGGCAGCATGGACACCAAGCACGGATCAGCAGCTAGGGTCCCGAGAGACTTCAGCAACCAGACAATGTTCTCTGGAAATAGCTGCCCTCGAATGTTGTGACGGTTGCGACTGTTCCCATTAGATGGAGCTATATTTCAGAGGTTTCAGAACATTCAGAAGCCCTGGTACGAAAGTTGAAACAAATGAAAGTTCGTGACATCGTGTTATAACATTGACATAATATTAAAAAGAAGTAGTGATAGAGAGGGACAGTCATGGTTGAAGAAATACAAAATAAACTACAGCTTGAAGTTGATAAATACAAAGCCATTCAAAAAGGTGAATGCAAACAGAATTGTTCATAGCGACATAACCTGAAAGGTTTCTTATGTGTATAAATATGGATTTGAATAAGTCATTATCTGTGTAACTCAATTGTCTAACTGTGACACCGTTTTTATGCCAAATTTTCACAGAGGAAGTTAATCTCATGCTGTAAAAATATAAGTTACACTTGGTCGATTTACGTATAGAAAGTACAGTACTTGAGTATTGGATTTTTTCAGATTACCACAAAGCTATTGCACAGCGCCAACAACTGGACGGACAGCTGAGTGAGAACACTGCTGTAAAGAAGGTATGCAGTAACTATAACTCCATGGAGCGCAGTTCTTGGGAGCCTGCCAGTCGCTCAGATTTACCAACTTTTATGGAATCTGAAAGTTCATTAGTGTTTAATAAGAATTCGCATAAGCATTTGGTATGTCACAGGAAAGAGGAACATGCAGTTTCTGAGTGACACATTTCATTATTATGTTTTGTGACAGGAACTGGATCTGCTGAAAGCAAATGCAGAAGTGTACAAGTTAATAGGGCCAGTGCTGGTGAAACAAGATCTTGAAGAAGCAAAGCAGAATGTTGCTAAAAGAATCAACTACATCAACACTGAACTGTGAGTTTAACTGTTGTTTATTTATTTGTAGTTCATTTTATGACACTGTATCTCAAAAGAGTATATAATGTCAAATGGTACGGTGATCAGTAAAGAATCAATTGGAAAAGATATGGAAGGAAATATTCGCATCTTAATTTGAGGTACTGTCCGACCATTTTCCTGAAGGGATATGGTGCTGTAAACCCTCAGGGTAGTCAGTTATGGGGAGATTTGAACCTGGAACCTTCGAGACATGAGTGCTCTTCATTCAGCTGCAGAACTTGGTTTTAACTGTTGTAATATACAGTAAAGCAGTTAGAAGACACCGTCTGCTTGTAGTTTTATACACAAAAAATGAATAGTGAAGAGGGAATTAATTTTTATTTATACTTCACTTTCTGCATCACATTTCCATTTTACCTGTTTGAAGGCTGTTTTTGTCACTTTATGCATGCATTTCCCCCATTGTTATGTATTATTTTATATTGTGGATTTTCTTAAAGCCAAGCCAGTTCCTATCCCATAATCCAGGATAGAAATTTAAATGAGATGGGAAACCAGTTTCAGGAGTCACCATGAATGCAAAATAACAGCACTACATGCCTGGCATTTGCCTGGAGAGCTTAAGGAATACTACAGGAATTTTTTTTTATTGCTAGTGGGGTGGGACTAAGTCCCTTGTACTGGGGCCACTTCTGGCCTGTTTGTACTAGCCCCAGATGATAGGTGAGCGTGATTGTGGAGCAATTGGTGGAATGAAGATCGGCAGGGGAAACCGAAGTAATCGGAGAAAACCTGCCCCAGTGCCACTTTGTCCACTACAAATCCCACTTGATCAAACCCAGGCCACCACGGTGGGAAGCCAGCAACTAACTGCTTGAGCTTTGGCGCAGCCTAATTGTTGATGTAACTAGGGCTTGAAACTGACCATGGACCTCCATCTTGGTCCAAGGGCAATAGCACATCTATCCATTTTTATGTTTTCTGGATTATTTTATGACAACATTTGAACTGTGTAGCATCAAGTGACATGATGGTAGACAAACGATGAATTGAAAAGGATTTGAGGGTCTAATTGAGGCACTATCCTGGCAACTGCCCCAGAGGGACTGAGGAGAACCACAAAAAGCCTCAAAATAGCCAATGTGCCTGCTGGGATTCAAACCAAGCACTTGCCAAATACACGCAAGTCTACAGAGTTACTGCTAGACTGACCTGTTTCCCAGTGCATGGAGCTCCATCTCCATGGCTCTGTATGCCATCAGGGAAAGGAGCTTGACAGCAGAAGTACCTTTATCTTCACTTTTAATGGCCACGCTCTAAAACCCTGTTATGAAGTCATGCATTCAAATGAAATAAAAGTACGAATGTTCTCATGTCCTTTGGCTCCAAGGCACATGTAAATTATTGTATATTTTGAATTGCTTGACCTCAGAATTTGTTATATACTGCACATTATTAGAAGAGCGAAAATAGGTATTTCCCAGAAGGTAAGGTAGGCATGCTCGCTGATCATCGTACGTGTGAATGTACTGCAGAAATGGAATAGCTATTCCTGGATGAAATAAAATTAGGCATGCTTGCTGGTAACTAACAAATTAATTGAATGTAACAGAAAGAAGAGGCAGAAGTTTCACCCAAAGGCAGCATATAATGTTCACCAGACTAAACAATATTAAAACAAAAGCTTTAGTATATATTCATGACAATAGGAAATCCAGAAGCATGCATAATTTAATATTTATTTAGATGGATCATATAGTACCTGGGTGTTATATGCCACAGTTTATAGGTCTGTTGTGTGTATTGCTGTCAGCTATTTTTTGATGTTGGCAACAATATTTCATGATCGTGGACTTCCACTCCCCTATATGTCTTCATGGCATGGTGCTTAAACATGGGACATCTTTACCTTTCTACACACATGGCAGATGAAATTAGTTGCTTAATGCATATCATCATGCTACTGTTGATGCCATACGGGAAGGTATTATAAAAATCTTGAGTACTTGACTATTCTGAATGTGTGGCCTTTTTAGGTACAGGTTTTTACTTATGTGTCAATGTAAATAAGAGTTCCAGATTTGTGTACCTTTTAAATTTGTCCATTTATTAAACAGTATATAGAAGATGTAATTTTTTCACCAAACAGACTGGCATAGCAGTTACACCCTTGACCCATATTTGGGTGATGCTCAGCACAAATCTTTGCCAGAACTTGGGCTATCCTGACTGAGGTTGTTTGGAATTTTCTTGGTCCTTTCAGGCCCAGATGGTACCTCGTTTAGGCCATGACTGCATCATTTCAAATCATTATTCACCTGTCATCATTTGACACTTTATAGTCCAGTTACTGAAGGTGTTGCTAATTAACCTATAAATAAATAAATCTAATGTTTGATTGATATTTGAATTAAGAAAAGGATTTCCAGGCATTCAAGACCAGATACTTAGATAGGAATGCAATAATCGCCATGGATAACATTCCACATAATGCAAGAATATAACTGTGTACCAAGTCACCCCATAAATATTCTGCAGTGACAGTGCTACATTAGTGATAAAGCAATGTACAAGCATAGGGATTCAACATCAAAGTAATCTTTTGTATATGATAAAAGTAACATTCTCCAACAAGGTTTTGTACAAATAAATTAACACAGTACACCAAAATTTGTACAGAACTGTTAGGCTTATTTTGGACTCTACCCATTGTCAGAATCCTTTCAAGTCTACCAAAATTTGTATTTCGAGTTTTATAATCTGCACACAGAAATACCTGTCCTTTACCCAGACTATGATTGCAATGCTTGTCATTGTCACAGCATGCAGTCTTATAATTTTAAAGAAATAATCACACAAATTAAGAAATTAAAAGAATTCTGCCTTCTACAATATAACACCATGTAGTCCATTGAAAGTCAGTATCATTTCAGATGAGCATGTGGCCCCCATCTTCCAAGTTTGAAGAGTAAGCTGAGCTACACACCGACATGAAGCAGGCAAGTAAAACCTGCTTCATGCTGGTGTGTTGTTGGGCTAACCATTCAACCCCAAAGATGCAGGTGACATGTTCCTCCAAAACAGTAGTTAATGTTCAACGGATTATATGGTGATATATCCCATGAGATAGAACTCTTCATAACAACTGCTGTCTGCACCTCCAATCCTACATAAGAAATTAACGTCTTCTCAGGTAGTTACAAAAAGAAAGTAATTGGAAATAAAAAAGGTAGAGCTATCCCTGTAACAGGCCATGGAGGCCCGCCCATAAGCATGGTGAGATGTTGAGGTCAGCCTTACATGCCAGCAGCCCTTTACCCCCAGGAAGATTCCTGGCATTCATTTCTGCTAGAGACTGAGTCAACCCCACGCCCATAATAGTTAACTGGAAATAAGGATTCAATTAAAATCCAAAAACTCTGCCCCAATAATTGGACATTGCTTTAACATCTGTGGTTGCCATACACAATGGCAAGATTACAGAGTAAATTTAATTATATCTTTGGATGGCTTGTTAGGTGGGAATAGTAGAAACATTCCATGCATGTGTATGAGAGGTCACATGGGGGCCTACAACAGTTCCTTTCACTGGCCTGTCAGGAGGGTCATGCTACTCGCAGCATTTGTTTGATCTTCTGGTGTATCCAACAGGCCAGTTGGCTGTACACATCACAGTTTCTATCCAGTAAATCTTTAAACAGCTACTGTGAACCAAGCATATACATTACATACCTGTAGACTATATCCCAAGCTCCTACTACTGTGTTAAACATTCACCAAGTTGCATTACTTTGTGTTGAAATTCCAAGTGAGAGTTACACATCGAAAGAAGTGTTCATATATGACACCCATGAGAAAATGAGATGATTCTGGCATACATTTCAGGTTGTTACAGTTCCAGACAGAAAAGATCACACAGCTGTAATCAAATGTGGACAGTGGAGTTATTACTAGGCAAGAAATGCCAAATGCTCACTAAAGGGAAACTGGATGAAATCTGTGCTAGAGCTGAACATTTCCCTAGAAAATCCCTTAGATGCCTTGCACTGGAGATGGGTTTCAAGTTTCCTTTGTTTCCAAAAAGGAACTTTGACAAATGAATGTGATCATTTTACAAAAGTGCAAAAATTACATGTAGCAACAGGGACCATATCCAGCCATCTTCTTTGATGTGGATGGGTTTTGTCTTTTGTTGGCCCATAGCCTTGTTGTGCTGCATATAAGAACACTTAGAAACAGCCTGCATGATTGGCGGATCTCCCTCCCACCACGCCAGCCAGAAGATTTGCAAGAGGCTTCCCATTAAACTCACCATATAAGTGTGAGATACTTAAAAGCATCAGTTTCATCCAGAGTTCCTGATACATTGTTTCTCTATGAAGTATCTCATAATTTCATGGTATCTTATTCCCATTGCTAGTGCTATCAACTTCCTGATAGATTTTATACAGTACTATCAAAATCAAGAAAAGAATTATAGAATGACTGTGCATCATCTGATGACAGGAGCACATCTGGCCCCAAAATGCCATATGCATTGAATCCAACATACCTCACACTGTGGACAGAGCTCATGATAATAATAATATAATAATGCCTTAGTATCAGACAGATTTGAATGAAAGCTGTGACATGAATTTTGTATGTGCAGGAAGCGAATAGACGACATGATTGTGGGGCTGGACAAAAAGCAGGATACACATCGCGAGGCCATCACCAAGTTGCAGCAGCAGTTCCAGCAGGCACAACTGAAGAAGTGAGAATGTGTTTTTTGAGCTCTTTATTCTGTCAGTTCTGAAAACTTCAACACGCACTAGTCTTCAATAATTTCATTTCTGAAAACAATCTGTATTTATTAATAAAATTTTAATTTACAATAAAACCTTACTGACATTGTATTTCAAGTCCTGCATTAAGTTCCATTCTTGTTCATCAAACAGACAAGTCTTGTGACAAAATGGAACAAGTTCAGAACTGTGTAAGATTTGAGGCTTTCACGGCGGTGACTATGAAGAAAGCAGTCTTCTGGGATTTGGCACCGGTGTTGTCGCTTGCAGATTTCTTAAACTTTTTCTTCAACCCTGAAGATGGGGGCGATACGTTCCTCCGAAACGTCGGTTAACACCACATATACACGGTGCCAAATCCCAGAAGACTGCTTTCTTCAAGTTCAGAACTGTATGCCTAGCATAACAGTTCTTGCATGTCGTCGTTGTCGTCGTCCCCAAATTCTGTTTCCTATATCCTATCGGCAGAATTTTGCAGGAACGGGTTTTACTGTGTTGCAGCTTCTTCCATACCATTGTGACGTAAATACTATAGAACTGATGTGGAATTTACTGAAAGAAAATGCCGTGGTTAGAAACGTGCCCTTTTTTTTTTAATGGGTTTGAAGAAATCAAATGACTGGATAAAAATAAGCTCATAATCAAGTGAAGGCAGTATTGGGGCAGAGGTTATGCATATAGGTATATAAAATGGCGACAAGGAATCTGAAAACAGTGGCAATGCAAGGGACATTGCATCTGAAGAGGCTGACACTTCAACAGGCTCATCTGTTTTTCGGGTCAGAACTCTTCCAGTCTACAACTTCATGCCTGCAGCCATCACTATGTACGTATCAACAGAGCAGCAGCTCACAATCATTCACATCTTGGTAGGAAAATAGACAAAACTGCTGTGGAAACTCTTTGACATGTTTAGCAAACCTGCTTTTAGAGAGGGAATAATGCATATAATTCAGATATTTGAGTGGTAGTCAAGGTTCAGAATTGGAAAGACTTCTGTTGAAAATGCCAAACAGACACTGGTTTTTCATGTGGATGGAATCATGAAATCGGGAATTCATCCGACAGGACCCAGAGACATTCTTCAGCATCTACTGGGAGACGGTGACTTCGTTGTCCTCAACAATGGCTCACTGGATATTGGTTCCTCCCACACATATATTCCACTGAGTTTTTCTGTGCAGCAGTTTCTAGCAGATATCACCTAATTTGCTCCCTAGGAGTATCCCATGCAGTTCATTTCTGCTTCAAGTTTATACTCAGCAAAAGGGGAAAAGATCTGTCATTGAAATAAGAAAATGCACACACATTACACCTGTGGACTTCAAAATTACAAGTCTTCCACACATGCATCTAACAACAGAGTTGTACTTCCTTCATCTAGGAAGTGCTCTGAGGGAACAGGCATGAATAGCTGCTAAATTAATTGCACTTATGAAAAAGAAAAAGTCTGACAATTTTTTATTACACCTTGTACAACTACTTTTCTCAGTCACATCATGGTGCCTTCCTGTTGCAGAAATAAAAACCATATATCCATTCAATAAAATCATAACAATTGTGTTGAAATTATGCCAACTGGTTGCTGATAGCACAAATTCTGCAAGGAGGTGGGTCTGCCAGCAGTAGTCTCTAGTGATCATTTCCATGGAAAACGCTTGTTAAGTGCTTCTTTGAACTTCTACTTTGTATTATTTCAATACTGGATGTTATGATTGGATTCTGAATAAGTGAAGGGGTGTCCCTAGTAATTTACATAGAAACCTGACAATTTCTTCTTCTTGATATAAAAGAATTAAGCTGTTACTCTTCCCCAAGGCAGACTAGGCAATATTGGTAAGGGAATGACTTAAGGTTCCAAATGCAATAAAAAATGTCATAGTGTAAAAGAAAAGTTGCTACAGAGATGAACATACAAATATTTCTTGGCAGTATATACCAGATTTTTGATAGGATACAGCCCTTGTTAAGTGCTTTTTCCCAGAACTTCCCCCAGAATTCAAACTTAGATATGTGTGATTGTAGTACCAACTTTAATGTAGCATGACTTCATCACAGGAAGGAATAAACTGTAACAAGATACAAATGGTGGGTACTCTCTTCTGTGATGTGATACTGTGTTGTCTGCTAGGAGTTTCTGGATTTATGAGGACACTTGTTCCTTCAGTTCCCATTGCTCCTATTGGCATGCTCAGCTCTCCTAACTTCTTGAAGCTCAGCCCTTCTGGAAAAGCCATCAATTCTGCAGCTACTCAAGAACTTCCCGGCATTTCATGGAACCCAAGGTTCATTACCATGTTCACAAGAGCCCTCCACTGGTCCCTATCCTGAGCCAGATCAACCCAATCCATACCACCCCAATCTATCTCCCTAAGATCCATTTTAACAGTTTCCACCCACCTACATCTCTTTCCTTCTGGCTTTCCCACCAATATCCTATATGCATGCTTCTTCACCCAATTCGTGCTACATGCCCTGCCCATCTCACCCTTCTTAACTTGATCATTCTAATTATGTTTGGCAAGGGTACACAAAGCTCCTCATTACGCAGTTTCCTCCAGTCTTCCATCACTTCATCTCTCTTCAGTCCAAATATTCCACTTAGCACCCTGTTCTCAAACACCCTCAGGCTATGTTACTACCTTAATGTCAAGAGACAAAGTTACACACCCCATACAGAACCACAGACGAAATTACAGTGCTCAGGTCTCCTACCTTGGTCTATATCCATACCACCTTTTCCACACAGCTTGCTTTGCTTACTGTTCTACCCTGAAGATGCAGGCCATGTGTACCTTGAAAATGGAGGTAAACTTCTACCAGACTACATGGATCACATCACAGAAGAGGCATTCTTCATAGTCACCACCATGAGGGCCTAGAATCTGGACTATCAACTGTTTCTTTTTCAGATTCATATGGAATGCTTTTAGTCACAAAATATTCTACACGCCTACTATATCAATTCAGAGTCCTGTACAAGTACTAACTGTGCTGGATTAGTAACTTTAAATTTTAAATTGGTCTGTGCAAGCTAAAATTCATAAATAAAATTAAATATTGCAGAATAGGGCCCCTTCAGTTGTAACACTGTGTAATTTCAGACAGCCAAATATTTTGAGGAACATATTCCTGCCATCTTCTGGACTGAAGAGGAACCCAAGCAAGAAACCAGAAGAAGCAGGTGGCAAGCTTGCTGTCTCCAGACTATGCAGAGATACAACTAGACACTGTTCTGAGAACGTCAAACACAACAAAATTAAATACAAATCAAAATTCTAAAATATAAAGGAATAAATATGTATTTCAAAATTATTTTAATACTAAGTAGGTAAACAATATTTATGACAGAAGTTGTATCTTCTGTTGATTTGACATTTGAATCCTGAAGCATGCTTAAGGAGTATAAGGGTACAAGAGTTGTTTTGGAGAATCTTAACTTCAGTTACTGTGTCAGTCTGTACCGGGGTGGGAGGGGGGGGGGGCAGAAAAAAGTAAATGGCACAGTTGTTCACATGAATTGTCATGTAGAAAGAGGAAGATCCTCTCTCTTCTAAGTGAACTAGGCCAGAATACAGAAATAAAGGAAATTATTGCTCTATAGTTGACACAGGGTTACTGAATCTGTAAAAATATCTATTTCCCCTACTTAAAAATAAAAACAACAAATTCATATAAAATTTATGTTTATGATAATAGGCACTCTTTGTAAATGAAATGAATACACAAGTGCTTCCAATCTTGCTTCACAGTTAAAAATGCAAGAACCACAGTTTAGCTAAAAATGTGATTTTCTTTGTTCTCCTGTTACATCCATAAAGATTTCTTTCTGCAGAATAGCCTACCTAAAATGCTGAGAAACATCGTCCCTTTTTCTTTCTGTAAAGTGTCTCACTGGAGTCTTAACACCAGTCTGCCCAACACTACAATTATTGCTTCAAAACAAATAAAGGGAAACTGTACATTATGATTTGTGCAGAACTGTGGCTCTGGAATGAAATTCCTGCACTGGTTAGATATACATCTTACAAGAAATGTTTACATGGCACGGAAGTGATGTATTACACACTCCAAGTATTGAATACCATCTCACACTCAGGATGACGAAATGCCCCTATTGTAAGCAGGATGCCTACATCTATGAAGTGTATTTTAAAATATTTCAGATGTACACTTTAAAATAATACATAAACATACAATAAAACTAATACATAGCATGTAATTCTTAATAGTGATGTTGTCTCCTACCAATACGACTGGTAACACTTGAAAATGTCTTTTCTCTACTCATCCAGTATACAAGTACGGATCAGAGCATTGCACACAGAATATGGATCACAGTTTGATGAGGGCCGACGATCTTCTAGATAACCTTTCTTATCCTCGGCAACGCCACGAGGGATACGAATACTGGCACCACGGTTTGCAACACCTGAAATCGCAATCCCAACATAATCAAATTTTAAAGCTCTCAAGAAGTAACAAATAAAATTAAACAGTCTGGTATGAGCGTGTAACTTACCAGCAGAGAAATCATGTATGGAAGAGGTTTCATGATGTCCAGTCAGACGGCGAACATTGTCCTTCCCTCCCTTTGGGTCATAGGCCTGAATATGACGTAGATGTTGCTTCGACAGCTTGTCAATTGCCTTCTCAATCTCTCTGCAAATGGAATAAAAAAATGTGATTTACATCTACTGGTTTTCTTTATGGTTATATTATTCTTTCTAATCACACAGTATTCATACCGCTATTTTTACATTTTATAGTGTGTACCTTCACTTTACAACTAATGAACGAACTCCATGGCACTGAGCTCTTCTTGAGAAGCTTCCAGTTGCACAGCTACTTAACAATTTCCCAACCTAATGGAACCCAAAGGTTCACAGGAGCCCTTCACTGGTCCCTATCCTGAGCCAGATCAGTGCAGTACATACCACCCCATATTTTGAAAATAACAGCAAATATATGGCGTACAGTGTTTTGGTAGGAAAGCCTGAAGGAAAAATACGCGTAACATTAGAAAGACCTAGACATAGTTGGTAGGATACTATTAAAGTGGACCTGAGAGAAATATGATTGGGTGTGAACTATATTCATCTGGTACAGGATAGAGACAAGCAATGGACTCCTGTAACTACAGTATGAATCTTTAGGTTCCATAGAATGCTCGGAATTTGTGTGGTTGACCAAATGTTGGCTTGTCAAGGAGGGCTTAGTTAACCACACAAACGTAGGTCAATATAGTTGGATATATTTCTAACATTTCAGCAAGGTAACAATCCCTAAACCTTAAATTCTGTATTAAGTTTACTACAGTCAATGGTATGTGCCTATCTGTGACATTTCAGATCCATGCCATAAAGCAATAGTTTACTCACATGATGCCGTTCTCTTCCCGCATGGCTAAAGTAGAGAAGTTGCAGTGGGCCCCTGAACCATTCCAATTACCAGTCATGGGCTTGGGGTCAAATGTTACAATAACCCCATACTCCTCAGCAATACGATGTAGGATATACCGTGCAACCCAAAGGTCATCCGCACACTTGATTCCTTCTCCTGGTCCGACTTGAAACTCCCACTGAAATGACACAATTATCATCAGTCAGTGTCATTCAGAGTGTTACTCATTCCATCATCATATTCATTATATGGATCCTCACCTGAGCAGGCATTACTTCAGCATTTGTGCCTGCAATATCAATGCCAGCATACAGACATGCTCTGTAGTGTGCTTCTACGATTTCCCGAGCATATACTTTATCAGCCCCAACACCACAGTAGTATGGTCCTTGAGGGCCTGGGAAGCCATTGGCAGGCCAACCAAATGGTCGGAGATCCGAGTCCAGAAGGGTGTATTCCTGTTCTATCCCAAACCAGGGTTTTGTGTCCACAGCTCTCTCTACTGCCTCCAGACATGTACGTCGATGATTTGTGGCTGCAAATTTACACATCATTATGTACCACGAAATGTCTAGACTGACTATTTTGGTATACCATCATGGCCCATTTCAATAAGGGCTCACCAGGTCTTTCAGTGGAGCAATGAAGAAGTATGGCACTATTGTAAAACTCTATCAATTAAAGAAGTTCTAGATACAAATGCTCATTCAGTGTGTGTGTATTCTGAGACTGGGCTGACATATCAGATTATCTGTTTTCACACTTCTCCTTCAGAGACATAAAAGAGTGAAAAAGGGTTAATTTTGTTTAGCATAATAAGATAAAAAGGTAAATCTATCCCTGTAACAGGCCGTGAAGACCCATAGTGTTGTGAGACATCGAGGCTCCCACATTTTCTCTAGACAATAGACTTCTAGACAGCAGTAAGGTTGTCAGCCTTACGCTCCGGCCGTCCTTTACCTTCCAGGAAGATTTCTGGATCATGGTGCGGCTGGAAGAATGAGATAAATTCAAAAGAAAACCCACCTCATCGGGACTCAAACCCGCGACCTTTCCAGCTTGTAGCATAGTGCCTCAACAAACTAAGCTACCACATGCCCCCATTTAGCATAATATAGGCAACTAAATATTACTGCTGTAGCTTCATGACTAGTAAAAGTATAGTTTTTAATCCTAAAATGAAACAAAACTGTAACATGCTCCACTTCTGAGTATTTCCAAGAGGAGTATACCCCTGATTATATGAGATTGGGTTATCCAGTTTGTGCTTATCCATGAGCCCCTTCAGGCATGTCCACAATTCTGTTGTGCACCCACGAAGTTTGATCAATCCATGCATCCATATGTATGGAAGAAGCCAAAAACTTATGGACAGATTTACACAAAAATTTAAATTGGAAAATTTTATGACTTACATGGCCATTTCAATTTTAATTTACATCAGGTCATTTTAAAAATCACTTTACATGAAGACATACATGGATTTTCGTGCATGTTTCAAGCATAACTTGTTAAATGTTTCTTGAAGCACAAAATATTTGCAATAGAAGTTCTAAAGAAAGATGAAAACACACTTTATGATCAACATGCATTTTCCCAAGACTTATGGGTTTCGAGATAAATGGAGCAAAACTAATGCTATGCATTCATTTCTGAATTTATACTGCACAGTCAACCATAACAATGTCACCTAACCATGCACGAAATTTTGATTATTCATGTCTCATTTTCCCTTCATTAGCATAGAAAATCAGAAGCATAGTGGTTAATGCTGGTTCATCACAACGCTACCACCCACTGGCATACTAGATATGGCCATCACTGCTGTACTGGTGTGCTGGATATGGGACAAAACTGCCATACTGGTGTGCCAGATATGGCTCATTACTGCCATATGGGTGTGCTGGATGCGGTTCATCACGGCGATACATGTTGGTGCATATGATTCATCACGGAGGTACAAGTGTGCTAGGTATGGTTAATGTCCCGTGCTTTTTTTTTTAAGATGGCACGCATATCGGCCAACAATTGATAAAGAACAACAAACTTGTCTAAAGTCGCATGTCTGCCGATACATTGTAAGCGGCCAAAAACAGCAGGGGCACCAGAAAGCATGCTGTAGACAAATACACAGCGTTTCCAAATCACATTTGAACTCACCGGTGGGCTCCTTGTTGTACTTGTATGTGTCACACAGCACCAGCGTGTTGTTGGCGCCGGGCCTGAATGGGTCCTTGTATACCGCCACAGGGTTCAGGAACGTGTCTGAGTTGGATCCCTCGGCCTGGTACGTGGAGCTGCCGTCGTAGTTCCAGATGGGGTAGTCTACAAACACGCACAGAGCCAACCGGAAATTATGTCTGGTGACGGAAGGTGACCAGGCACGTGTCACGTGACCATGGAGTGTGCCAGGCAACGCTTAAATATAACTACAAAACAGCTGATGTGAGGAAAACAAATGGGACCGGCCATCGTCCGCTGCTGGGAAGGAGTCAATATTGCAAACAGAAGTGACCTTCCTTCTCTACGTAACTGATTCTCCATTACTGATTTCTGACTTTTACGGTGATCGATTAACTCGCCTCCAACTAGTGCCGAAGTCAAGAAAACGTGCATCTATACCACAGCTCCCCCATGTCTTCTTGGCGCAGTGCTTAATTAGTTAAGCACAGGGGCAACTTTTTTTCCCCCCTGGCACTACAGCCCCAGTGGGCCTAGGCCTACCTCCATGAACTTCTCCGTTCACTTCGGTTTTTCTAGATCTTAGACATTCGGTAGGACTCCTTGGGCGAGTGATCAGCTCATCGCAAGGCCTCTATCTGTAGACAAACATAGAAAAACGCACACAAACATCCATGCCCTGAGTGGGATTCGAACCCACGATCTCGGCTTCCGAGGGAGCGAAGACAGTACATGCCTTAGACCGCTTGGCTACCGTGACCGGCGGGACAACTTTACTTACTCTTTTTTATTTACGGTGGTCAATTACTGATGTTAACTTTGTTCTTCGGCGGATGTGGGCGATGTTGCCTATGTCTCGGAGGTACATGCTGCTTCCATCGACAGTTAGACCCTGAAGATGGAGGCAGCATGTACCTCTGAAACGTCGGCAGCATCGTCCACAAGCACTGCTTATATAAATTGAACTGATATCACTGATGCGCAGTTGTTATGCACTCGCTTTACTGGTTCATCACATAAGCGAACGAGTTCACATCCACATTACCCACATGCCGCAAATCCATTTCAAGATATTCACCCACCTCCAAGAGTCGGGGACCTATTCGACAGGACAACCATCGACGTAGCATGGCATTTCCCTCAGAGCGAACAAGGGAACCGGTACCTCGTAATTGCTATGGGCTATTTCACCAACAGGCCGGAGGCCTAACCAGGACTCGATGGTGTCAGAAGCCCTTCTACCGCTTCTGAATAACGCGAGAACTATACAGTGATCAGGACCTTACTTCGAGTCTCGCGTGAGGTGTTGCAACTCCTACGAGTCAACATGACGCGAACCACCCTCTGCACGTCCAGTCGGACAGCATGATGGAGCAGTATACAAAAATGGTCGAGGAGCACCTGCGAAGAATCGTCACGTCACATAGGACGGACTGGGGCACGAGGCTGCCCATCTTCCTCCATGCCCACGACACTATGGGCTTAATCCATCGTAACCTAAATTTCGCTGGGAACTTGGCCTGCCCTGTGATCCATTTTTCAGGATTCCCCTAAAAAGAAGCGACTCTCGTAGAATGGCCACGACATCCACAATTACCTTCTCTGACATCTGAAGATGGACAGCGCCGCGCGCTACGACCGCTTCAGCGGGCTACCAGGATGGTGACCAAGTGTGGCTGTACTTACCGCCCTTTCCGCACTGAAGGCAAGTGACCCAAGCTTGAACCGTCGTGGGGATGTTATACAGAGGTAGTCTCCCGAATCAGAGATGTGGTATAGACCATTTGTTGATACCACAGAAAGATGATGATGGCGGTACACCTGAACCAACTTGTACTTTAGGCCGCGGCATAGCTCGAGCGGTTAATCGCTCGCTTCCCACTGCGGCGGCCCGGGTTCGATCCCAGGGTCGGGTAAAGTGAGATTTGTGGTGGACAAAGTGGCGCTAGGGCAGGTTTTCTCTGAGTACTTCGGTTTCCCCTGCCAATCTTCATTCCACCAATTGCTCCACAATCACCCTCACCTATCATCTGCGGCTGGTACAATAAGCCAGAATTGGCCGCAGTACAAGGGACTTAGTCCCACCCCACTAGCAATAAAAAAAACTTGCACTTTACAAGAAAACCGCTCCAGACGAGCAGGCTTAAGGAGGGCGCAGTTGGAGAACAGCAACGCAATACCTAGTCTACGAAGGCTGAAGAATGGACGACGTCGAAACTGGATAAGGAGATGAAACCAATATTTTGCGGTACCACACGCGAACACAATTACAGACTTCAAAAACACGCCCCCACGGAGAAATGGCGGAACGCCTGTAGCCTACTCAGGACGAGCAGCCTGAAGGAGGGAGCAATGTGACATGAATCCTGAAAGCCGGAATACTGGTGGCAGAGGAGACGTTTATTGCTAAGCAATGACGCGGTAAACACTTCCCTGCATCTGTCCTTCTGCGATGGAAGATCGAGATATTCTGACTTCCTAGCACGTGGGTGCAGGACGCGTCCAAGCCAAAAACTTCTGATCGTGCTTTCGGACAGTTCAGACGTGTCTCACGTGCTCTGTTCTTCCTAATTAATCACACAAAGAATCTTACAGTATCTGTAATAAAGACAGTGAAAAAAATGCAAGTTACTATTCCAGGGCCCAAGACTGGTTGCTCTTCACTGACGCGTGCGTGTGTGCCTGTGTGTGCGCTCACTAGGCCCTGACGCCTAATGTACCATGACCCACCTAGTTCTCTACTGCAAACCGCCTAACAAACATCTGAATTCTGTTGACTGTAAGGGCGAGGGCACACCAAGGAAACTGACACCCGCAACGCAACCGCAATTTCGAGAACTGTTATCCTTCTGAGTTGAGGACATGTCACTGATTGGAGCAGAGCAAATTGAGCAAACTGTGTTGCCGTTTCCTCACTTTGCTCAAGATGGTAACAGTTCTCGAAAATTGCGGTTGCGTTGCGGGTGTCAGTTTCCTTGGTGTGCCCTCGCCCTTATAGTGGGGGCCCACCTAAAAATAATTACTTAAATTATACTTATTTGCCCTAACCCTGATTGATAGGCTGGAATGTGGCAGGAATGCCAATGTTATTGTGAGGAACGGCCGGTGGCACATGGAGACAAGGAGCAAGTAATATACAATAGAATGACCATGACAGGTGTGGCATGTGAAAGGCAATAAGGTAAGGCTGAATTTAATTGAAATGAAAAGTACGTATTACATTCTGGAGTGTGACGTTTACCGACGTGTCTGAAGAGCGCACCACCTCCGTCTTCAGGGTCGATGAACAATGCAAAAATTTGGCTTATTTGGCCCACTGCAACGCTCGCAGCCAAAAAGGAAGGGCACATAACAAGACACAGTACACACAAAATATAGGAAAAACGACTCCCACAGTGGAAGAACCATACAATACGCGAGGTTGAATTAAGACGCATAAGATGATAAATCTTAAGAAGTTTTAGTGCATACAAATTTCATTATAGCTGATGAAGAATGTACATTTTAAATAATTTTATGAACGACACATGATGGCAAGCAATGCAATCGCTTAGCGTAAATAACGCACCTGAAGATGGCACAATGTTGCCGAAACATGTAGTGGAGTGACATGTGAAATTGAGTGCACTAGAAGACGGCCAGTACATACAATATGGACGAGAATCAGTGCAACAGGACGCTAAAATACAACATTATGAATCTAACAATTCTGTTCTTGCGTGTGTATTCGTTGCCGCGTGTTTACCTAGCCGTTGCCTAGCAACGACCGTCTCTTCAGGCTTCACTATTCCGCTTCAGGCATTGGGGGATACAAAAATATACACAGGCAGCAAGATGATGTCATAAGCCTCCTTTTATTTTTTCAAAACAATTTGGCTAAAACCCCTAAATCAGTAAAAATTCAATATCGATATAACCGACGAGACATCGAAGAGGAATCACATATCGATTGATACCTGCATGTAGGTTGTATATAATTTATTGCTGCATTTCAGAGTAAGCACTCTGTTGCGTACAATCCATGCGTCACTGCTGCCAAAAAAAAAATTGCGTCAAAAAGCTTTTGCTTCTCCTATGTATAAAACAGAAATGTACTCACTCAAACTCCTCTTTCGATCTCTGACTTGTTGACTCTGATTTAGGATATCTGCCACTGATCAGTGAAGTGGAAAGAGTTCATAGGACAGTAAAGTTCGAAGAACACATAGTAAACAGAAGAAAAATGACGTACGTGACACAAGCAACGACGGAACCGCTACTGTGTGCCTGTGTGTGTGGCTTTGGCCCAAGTCCACTTGTTCTCACTTAACATTGCGAAACCATTCGTCATCATTAAATGCGTCGTTTTGAAGATTTCACAGAGGGAAACAATCCTAGTTGATTTGAGGCTTTCACGGCGGTGACTATGAAGAAAGCAGTCTTCTGGGATTTGGCAGCGTGTATATGTGGTGTTAACCGACGTTTCGGAGGAACGTATCGCCTCCATCTTCTACCCTGAAGATGGAGGCGATACGTTCCTCCGAAATGTCGGTTAACACCACATATACACGGCGCCAAATCCCAGAAGACTGCTTTCTTCAATCCTAGTTGATGATTCCGAAATTATTAATAAAAAACAAATTTATCCTGGATTTAAGGACATGACCTATTTCTATGTTCTCCTTAATTTTCTGGGGGCACGCGGCTGCGTAGCTGATTGAGGCGAATCGAGAGGGTTATCTTAAGACCATCATGTTTGGTGAAGAAGTGATCTTTCGTCGTAAAGAACGCCAAGGTTATTAAAGAGGACCGTACAGCCAAAAGTAGGTTCAAAGAAAACTATTCCTGTAACAGATCGTCGAGGCCCATAAGGTTGTGAGACGTAGAGGCTCCCACATTTTCTAGACAAATCGGCTCACAGATGGTGGTGTGGTTGTCAGTCTTATGCGCCCGCCGCCCTTTACCCCCAGGAAGATCCCTGGTACTCATTTCTGTTAGAGGCTGAGTCGAACCCAAAGCCACAGTGCGGATGGAAGGTTTAGGCCAACTGAAACATCCAATAACCTCATCGGGAACTGAATCCGCGACCTTCCGGCTTGTAGCACAGTGGACCATAAAGAGTGTTAATACCTTCTGACTTTTCCGAGGAACGTACCGCCTCCATT